GCATTTTATATAAATAGGGAATAGGAATGCCAGTAATTAATATATAAATAGGTTTATCTCTTTACTTTTGCCATTACTTTCTTTTACTGGCCCCTTAATTTTAAATATTAAACTCTATTACTAATAGCCTGCTCTTTATATCTTATCTAGCTAATTAAACTGCTTAATTTCTTTACTTTTTATAATATCTTTTAATTAACTTCTAAACTTTAACTTAATATTATAACTATAAATAAACTAATTATACCTTAAAAATTAAATAGATAATTTACCTAAATATCTACTTTTTAATAATATTAATTTTATTAAATTACTTACTATAGTTTTAATTTATATTAACCCTCTATTTTTAAATTATACCTATCTCCTATTATTAATAGTGCAGTTTTGATTTATATAGGATTCTAATTTGCACTAACTTAATGCGATTTGGAATTTAGGGATAGTATAGTAAAAGATCTGCTAAAATAGAAAGTCAGATTAGCTATTTTTAGGGGGCAGGCGCCAGTAAGTAGTTATCCAGTAAGGTAGCTTTATAGGCAGAATAGACTGTAATAATAACAATATAGATATATAAAAGTCGCTATAATTATTCTTATTAATATTATCTATTATAACTTAGCAATATTTAGCCTATACCTTAATATAGATACTATAAATACTTTAGGCAGTAGGAATTTAGCTTATCTTAGCTGCTAAATCATCCTAGGCTTCTTTTAATAAGTTAAGTACTAGCAGTTTCTACTGCCTAACCTACCTTTAGGTTTAATCCTAATATAAATATAACTTAGCGAGGAAGTGCTAATAGTATGCCTAGGCTATTTCTTACATAGCGAGAGTAATGGCCCTGCCAGTAAGTCTTTTAGCATCCTCTTTATAGCCTTAATTATACTCTATACAAGTATTACTAGTTAATTATTAAAATTGCAATTTAATAGTAACCTAGTTAGTAGTAAGTACTTAAATATTAGATTAATAAGCTAGTTTAGCCTATAATAGATTGCAAGATATATAGAGGTCAATTAAAACCTTAAGCGCGATATGCCCCCTCTACTAATTAAAATAACTATTAGGGATCTATAGTATGCCGGAGGTATTAATTATATCTTCTAGGCCTAGACTATAGCGCTACTTAAGCGACTTCTAACTATAGCTATATATCTATACTGTCTAGGTTGGCCGCTATATTTAGTTATTAAAGCTATATTCTTGCTTATTATTAACTAAATATATAAGAAGATAATATAGAAGCTGTATAATATAAAGTCTAAGGATCTACTAAATAGGATTAAGTAAAGATAATAATAATAATAATAATAATAAAGGCTTAACTACTTTATTTAATACTTATAGAAATATATAATTAAGTAGAAATAAAAAGCAAGTAGCCTATATAGATATAAATTTTACTACTGTCTTTATTAGAAGCACCTAAAAAGGGCAGTATTAATTACTTATTACAGAAGTAAAGGGAATATTTTAATATATTAGTCTAATATAAAGGTTTTAATTAGGGTCTAGTATGCCATTAGCCTATATAGTAAGGATAATATTAAGATAGAAGGTAACCTCTTTTTAGATCCTAAAATTTAAATACCTTTTTAAAGTAGTAATAACTTATATATACCGCTTATTAGCTTCTTAAGTATCTATAAGATAGGAGTGATTAAGCTGTAATATAAATATATACTATCGGTTTTAATTAGTAGCTACTAGATCTTTTAATATTATCTTATTAAAAGCTAGAAGTGGCAGTAGCCCTAAACTAAAAAGCTAGTAATCGCTAAATATAACTCTAAATAGATCTTTACTATAGTTATATACTTTAGCCTAAATAATCTTAGGTGACCTAGCCTTTAGGTAGTTAGGATTTAATGCCTAACTTGCCTTTACCTTTATATAGTATATTCTTACGTTATAAAGTAGATATAATTAATATTAGTTAGTAATTAGAGAGGCTTTAGGAACTATACTACCTAGCTAGTTATAAAGGTGCTTATAATAGGCGCTTTTCTATAGAAGTATTTAAGGCTTTTCTCTATAGTGGTTTAGTAATAGGGATAATAGCTAATAAATGTGATCTTATATGCCTATATTAAGCTAGTAAGAGTATATATTAATCTGGTTTGCATTAAGTCTAGCCAGGATACTATCTTAAAATAGGGCTAAACTTCCCTTAAGTGTCTGCAATATAAATATATTCTTTAGATTATATGCTTAAAATAGGAGGTAAGGGTTTCTAAAGTATAGAATAGTATCTTCTCTTCTTATTTATATATTATATATATTCGCTTTTTTTACTACTAATATCTAAAAGTCTGTAAGATTTCTGGCAAGGATACTATAGGACAGGCAAAACGCTTAACTCTTATCTTTAGTAGCCTAACGGCTAGTACCTGGTTTCTTTTAGTAGGCATAAGACTTTATATATAGCAGTTTATATAAGTTAGGTATCTCCTGTTATATATAGTTAGGGACTGTTTTAAAGATAGCTAGAAGGATAATGCTATTATATAAGTCTTTAAACTGTATTAAGGATAGGCTATTAGCAGAAGCTTTTATATATAATTAAGCTCTATTAGGGAAAAATAGAAGAATGGAGAAGTAGATACTGGCAGTAGTAAAACTGCTAAAAGAGGTATGCCTTATATATACTAGGTCTAGGCCATAAGGTTATATTACTTAAGCAGTAAATATATTACTTCTATAAGTAGGGAAAAAAGAGAGTTAAAAGTAGCTAGGGGCTTAAATAGTAGAGAGACTTTTTGCCTTAAACTAGATACTATTAATATCCTATTGCTATATAACTATTATAGAGCTATAGTATAGTAAAGCCTGTATTTTATATAACGATAAGGGTTTAGCCGGTTAGTTAGAGAGGAAGCTTTACTACTATAGAAAGGAAATATAAGGATTATAAGTACTGTTATATTTTATAAAGATAGTCAGTAAAGGAGGAAGGGAATGGCTAATATAGTCAGTATATTCCTAAAGTGTTTAGGTATTTTCTGGCTTGGCTTACTTATATAAACTTAGGCCTATTAGAGATATAAATTAGTATATTCTATTAATCTAGAAGGGAGCAATTAGATAATAATAAATCTATAATATACAGTTATATTAATGGCTAAAAAATACTTAAAGTATATAATTATATATACTGCCTTACTGGTATAGAAAATTAGGACTACTAGCTGTATTTTATTTATTAATTACTTAAAGATAACTACTAAGGATAGATTTATCTCTACCTACTAACGTTATTAAAGATAAACTAGATAAAGGTAAAGGTAATAAGGCCAGATAGACTGGCATTAGTAAGGAAGTAGAGTCTTTATATTAAGTAGAACCGGTTAATAATAGTCATATAGGGATCGATAGGTCTGGCATAGTGCCATTAGTAAGCCTAAAGTTCTTAGATATATTACTTTTATCTCTATCTTCTATATAAGTATTAAGATTACATAAAGATAATAAGAAGAGTATTGGTTTAGCCCTAGACTTAGGGCCAGGCTTGCTGTCTAATCTGCAGCCCTATCTAGGCTAAGCCATATTAGCAGAAATAGGTAAGGCTAGGTTATTATATAAATTAAGGCCTAAGAATTTAGCTATAGGTAGAAATTCTTAAGTAATATTAAACTGCTTAACGATCTATTATGCCTTTATAAGGTGCTGCTAGTTATAGTATTATTAAATATAGAGATGCATTTGCATATATGGCAATAGGGTAGGGTTATTCTTAAGACAATTAGGTCTGTAAATGGCATATAGAGATATATAATCCGGTTATAGGGTTATTTCTTTTACTTATATTATCGGCAGCTTATGCATTATTATAATCGACCGATTAGGGGATAAGGTTTGGCTTCTTTAGAGAACACTAAAAACTAGATAGTTGCCTACTTAATATAGGGTAATGCTCTCTTACTATTTATTATTATATACTAGTAAGTTAAAATATTAGCCTAATATTAAATTTTAGGTAGAAAAGATATATATTAAGCAAAAAGCTTTTTTTTCTAGCTATCTTAATAAATAAGTTTTATAGGAAATTTAATAAGTAGCTGCTTATAATAACAGGTAGATAAAAATCGTCTAAAATTATAACTCTATTCTAAAAGGCTGCTATATAATATTGCCTTAACCGATCTCATTCTTATATAGCCTTATCTGCCTTTTCTTGCGCTAAGAGTATATAATAGCCTATAGTAATATATACAGAATAAATTTATATAAAATTAATAAATATACCCTAAGCTATATAAGTAGAACTAGATCTTTATTAAACTGCTGGCTTACTTATTTTATTTTAGTTATAACTATATTTGCTTATAATATTTATATTTATATAGATAGAGTTTATACCTATTAATTTTACCTTTTATAGTCTGTTTATTACAGTATAAAGAGAGTATTATTATAAGTATCGGTTCTTATAATTGGCTATTTCTATAATAAGATAATTAAGTAAGATTATAAGGCACGCTATTATATAGAGATAGAATAGTCTATTTAATACTAGCTGCCGATATGCTAATATTATTGCGCTAACTTAATAGAATGCCTCTTATCTTATATATAAGTTAAAGACTGGTATAGTAAATAGTAGTTTTATAGAAAAATAAATATAATATCTAATATATACTTCTATATAAAGAATTATAGTACTATATATACTCTTTTTAATCTTATAGTTACATTAAAAAGACAATAACTACTATATAGTATCTTAAATAATAAACTTACTATCTCTTTATAGAATTAACTTAACTTATTTAGCCGTAAACTATTAATACAGTTAGGGGGTATCTTTATAATTATTAGGTAGGATTTTCTTCTAACCCTAAGCTTTACGTGCCTTTATATCTCCTTTTAGGTTAAGATATTAAAGTAAGTTTAGCGTATATATTTATTCTTTATTATATTAGCTTCAGGAGACTAATTAAAGTACTGTATGCATTTAAACGTAACGATATTAGTTGCCGCTATAAGCCATAAATAAAGGTATAACGTTATTTAGTAAGTAGCATTTTAATAGGCCTAAGTCTTAAACTAGATTAATAATAGAATATAAAAGAGAAAATAAGATAGAAGGCGTAAATTAAAATTAAAATAGTTTTAATACTTACTAGTTATTTAATTATACCTTAAACTATACTTCTCTCTACTTTTTATATGCTTATCTACTAACGTTAAATTTTAGGAGATTTTAATTGTTATTTTCTGCTTAGCGCTTGAATTTAATAAAGATATTCACTATCCTGCCAACCCTATCCCTACTTACATAACTAATCTATATCTATATATTTATTATTATATATATACTTTAACTTTCTCTTTTTTTTTTTTTTTCTCTTTTTTATTTTTTTCTCTATCTATTTATTAATTTAAACTTTTTACTTACTATATTCTGCTAATAACTATTTAATTATAGTTAACCCTTTTACTAAAATCCCCCTTTACTTAATGCCTGCTATACCTTTATTAATGCTATATTATTTCCTAGCTGTATTATACTATATAGGATACTTTCTGACTTAATTAGGGCTGCCCCTTTTATTAAAAGAGTCTTAACTTATAGTAGCTAGGGTTCTTTTCAGAGATATTTATATTTTCCTTAAGTAATTTTATTAAATTCTTTTTCTATATCCTTAATAATCTTTATATTTTCTTTAATTCCTTATATTAATTTACTAACTTTATATATCTTTCTATAAAGTGCTATATTAAATTATAGTTCTATTACTTTAAGATAGTTATATTAAAGGTATACTAAATATCCTTTTATTTTATTTATTAAATAGAGTTTATTATTAGGTATTTCGGTTATAATTATAAAAAAATAGTTATTATCTATTTTATCTAGCTTATATTATTTATACTAATAGTTCTTATATAATACCTAGGCTACTTTATTATATTAAGGGTATATTAGCATTATTTATATATTATCTTATATATTAAAAATAGGTTCTTTATATAGTAAGTTAAGTGCATTATTAGTATAATAAGCCTTAATATAGACTTTTCTTCCTATTTCTATATCTAAATATTCTCTAGCTTCTTATATATAGATATCTTCCTATATATTATAAATTCTTAAGCTGTCTTTATTAACTTTTTTCTTATAGGGTTATTCCTATTTTTATAAGATTTATTTATCTTAGTAGTAGAGGTATTAAGTAGTTATTTTAGTATATTTACCTTTATATTGTATACTATAGGAGCTTTATTATTTCTTTTATTAAAGTTAGTTTCTTACTTTAACTTCTTATGCCTAATATTTCTCTTTATTTTAAAGTATTATTTTAATAGAGATATTATTAATTAATTCAGATATCTAGCTTAATTTTTCTATATTAAAGGTAATAGCTTTTCTTTCTTTAATAACTCCTAATATTTACAGTTTCTTTATATTTAGTTATTTCTTAAGTTCCTTAAGTTTTATTTATTTATTTTCTCTTTTTATTTTCTCTATCTTTTATTAAAGTATTTTTATTTTTTAAAATCCTTTATATATTTATAATATTTTCAATTTTATAGCTTATTTTATTAAATTCTTTTTTATTTAAGCTTTTTTAAGGTATATAGCTTATTCTTCTTTTTTAGTTTTCTCTCTTTTTATATTTTAACTATATAATTTTATTTTCTCTATTAAATTATCTATTATATTTACTTTATATTATTTCTAGTATCTATATATATATAGCTATTTAAGGTTTTAGCTATTAAGTTAATCTTAATATTTACTTACTGTAATTTAAATCTTATAGCTTTTTAGGCTATAAGTATTATTATACTATATATCTAAATTAATTATAATTATAGTATTTATATTTAAATAAATTATATAGTCTATAATTTCTATTATCTAGTTAGGTAACTTTTAAGATTATAGGTCCTTTATAGGATCTATATAATATATTACTTTAATAGTTCTTTTATAGTTATTGTTAGTTTTAAAAGTTACCTTAATTATTATTATTTTATTATTAATTAAAGTAATAAAGGTTAAAGTTATTTCCTTTCTTATAGTTTACTCTCTCTCTCTTATATTTATACTATTATTTATTAATCTTAATTACTATAATAATATATATAATTAAATCTTTAGGTCTATTAGCTAGGTATAATTTATCCTTAACTTCTTTTTTTAGGCTTTAATAGTAAATTTCTATAAGTAAGTTATTATCTTATTAGGTTTTAGCAGCTAGCTATTAAAACTTAATTAAGTAAGTTATATATAACTTATATTATTTAAGTATAAGCAGTTTAGCTACTACCTGGCATTTTTTATTAATTATTTTAAAATTATCTTTAAGTGCTTATTTAAAGTTTTCTTAATTTTTAAAAATATTTTAAGTATTTTAATCCTATAGGTTTTCTTTATTTTTAAGATAGTCCCTTATAATAAGTTTAAATTAGTCTTTAGTATTTTTTTAAATTAATAATACAGTAAATAGTAACTTTTTAATTAGGCTATTTAGCCTATTTAGAAATAATTAAAAATAACCTTTTATTTAGGTAAGAAATAGGATTATATTACTTACCTGCCTTTTAAAGGGTTTTAATTTAGGCAGCTTAAATACTTCTTTAGGGTCCCTTTTATAGTATTTATAGTTACCTCCTTTATTATTTATAATAAATTATATATTTACTTATACTTATAGTATATTAATAGTATTATATAGTTATTAAACTTTAGTGGCTATTTTAGCATTATTAGGCAGTACTTTAATATATAGAGGTATTAAGGTATTAGTATTATTAAATATCTTAATAGTATATTATTATTTAATATAATATAGTATATATTAAATAAAAGCTATTAATATATAATAGTTATAGGTTTTAAATAAGAAATTAATCTATATTAGGTTTTATATTTATAGAAATATAAGGCATATATATTAAGTTTAGCTAAGTATTATATTTCTTAATAATTAAGTAACATATATTAGGCTTATTAATATAAAGAAGTCTTATTAATAGCTAGTAAGTCAAATTTTATTTTAATGCTAGTAAATATAGTCTATATACTAGTAGTAATTACGGTTTAGTAGCTATAATTACTATATAATTAGCCTTAATTACTGATAAGTATTTTAATTATTAAATAATTATAGATAATTACTGTAATTATATAGTAAGTATATATAATTAGGTTATTTATTAGTTAAGAAAATATAGGGGGCATATAATGTAAGCGCTTTTTTAAGTTTGATTGTAATATATATAGCCTATAAAATTGCATTTATATATATAATTCTAATAGAATTATCTGCAAATAATTCTTAGGTTTCCTTATGTTAAAAAGCAGCAGCTCAATCCGATGTCGATCCCCCATAGCCTTGTCCCCACTCCGCATTCCATAACGCCCCCGGCCAGAATTCATACCTCTCGCTGAACCCTTCGCCTGCGTCGGCCTGCGGCATGAAGCCTTCTGACCGCTGCGTGCCGTCGTCGTGCATAAAGTCGCCCGAGATCCATTCAACTGCAGTCCAAGGGTTCGCGTTAGTTGAAGTTGGAGGAGTCAGAGTGTGCAGTTGATTCATTTGCCTTAGTGTGGCAATGAGTTCAGGAACATCGACGATCTCTCCCATTTCGGCTAAGACGCGCTCTCGCTCGCCGAAGGCCTTTAAAATGAACTGTGACGGAGTGACTGCGGCATTCGGCCTGTGAGTGTCCAACAAGGAATGCTTAGCGTAAAGTGACTCAAGCACGGCCCAACCGCGATTAGCTAACGAATTCGCCGGACTGTGAAATAAGAAAGTGGCGAGGGAGGCAAGGATATCAAAGTTGAAATGCAAGCGGATATACCACGCAAAGCCCCATCGATCCATCGAATCATACGAGTTGCTCGCGTTTTCGCAGCTGGAGAGAATGAGTTTGAAGAGGCTGTCACGAGGAGACAAGACATCAGTCCCCCAGTCTGGTGATTCTTGCATAGGATGCATCATGTCGTGCAGCCGTCTGATAAGGTGTGGGCGGATTCCTAGGGCCGCCGCGTGGACTTTACTTGCAGCGGATGGAATAAACCTTCTTTCAATGTCCACAAGGTCAGCGTCAAGCTGTTGTACGAGGAGCCGATTATGGTTCAAGAGGGAAGCATCTATGCTTCCACGGTCTCCGCCGTGGCCAAAGATGTTCGCCTCCATGGCCTGACGAGCCTTCTTGTCGAGTAAATACGCCGATACCCGACTTATGACTATGACAAATGCCATCTCCGTAGGTCCCTCTTTGTGCACTAGCGGATCTGTGGCATCGGGGAACAGGTCCGCATCGTTGAGGTTGAGAGGGCTTTTGGTGTCGAAGTGCTCAGGCACGGAGCTGTGTGTTAAACCAGAGTCGATGCCCAGCTTGATGTCGAAAAAGACAATTTGCCACCAAATACGCCGACGCATTTCTGTTTCAAATGGCGAGAGTGATAGATGTGTGCCATCACGATGATAGCCCATGCTCATAGCGATTCGTACTAGTGTACCTGACAGGACCCAGGCAGCATGTTTGTTGCATTGGCCCATGAGGATGATCTTCACCGTCAGCCGCTTCTATTACCCACAGAAAAGCCATCAAAACTTACAGAAGTATGTATCTGAGCTTGCAGGACAACCATGTTGTACCGTCCCGGAGAACCAAACTGCGCCAGCGACACGCTGACTGCGGTAAGAAATTCTTGGAGGAAGTCGTCTCGCTGTTTTTCAGCACCAAGCATGTTTGTGATTTCGTCACTTCTAAGTGCCAATACAGCCAGTCCGAAAATACTATACACCAGTGCTTGTTGATCCAGCGGAGTCGATTCGATGTCGGCTGTTGTAGAGACAATTAGGGGTTGAACAGTGGGTGCGTGTATTATCTTGAGCAGTGGATTGACGCGCTCGAGATATATCTGCCACAGCTTGAAGGCTGTGATCGGGTCGAGGGTCGGACAGTTAGTGAACCTCAGGGGTTTATAGCCTGTGAAATCATCAGATGCATTTTCTTCGCTGAAAGCAACCTCTGGCTGATCCTGTTCCATAAGGTTCTTCATTTTACAGATCTGTATTGATGGTCAGCTTCATTGGATTGTGATGCAGGTTGAAGGGCAAATACCTCGTCGTTGAGAGTCACCCACAAATCGCCATCGGCATGCGTCCTCGCCGATTCACCAATTGTTTCGCTGCTGGCTGGCGCGATGTCGTTACTGCTGGTGGTGGTACCTCCCTGTCCTGAACGAATTTGGGAGCTGTCATCCACTGCAACGTGTTCTTGAAGCAATGCTTCACATTTGGCAAGGCGCTCCTGTATATCCCGAGCAGTAGACTTAAGCCTAGGCCTTGAGGGTGCCGGCTTGGAAGGTACGCAAGTTACGTTGTTCTGTTCGTCTTAGAGTCGTTCGTCCAAATACAAGCAGGATAGTGCGGTAACTCGATCACGAGAAGTGACAAATGATGTCACTTACACGAGACTTAGCGTGATAGAGACAGAATGACTGACCTTGATACAATTCGCACAAGGGATATCCTTGTTGCAGAGTATCTTCCTCCGGCGGCAATTTGCGCAAGAAAGGACCCGATTGCTCGGAGTGCCAACCCCTCCGTCTGTCCGCCTTCTACTAGCGCCCGCTATCGATCCTGTTTCCATGATGGAATGCTGAATCTGGACCTGATATTTGTGATCAGTGAAAAGATGCGATTGCTGAGCGCAGTCGCAGGATGCCGGACTTTGAACTGTCCACGAATGCGCTCGAATTCTGCGCTATTTTCTACCTACTCCCGCCTCACGGGGTTGAATAAGCAGAAGGCGCATATCAGCTAGATGCGGGACTTCGCGTTCTTAACATTCCGAGCGGTCATTTCCCAACTGAGCTTAGCCGATTCGGACCAGTCAGTTATCTTGCAGAGCTTGCTAGGCTATGACTAATCGCGGAGATTCTTGGGGAACAAGGCCGATGAGGGAGCGTCAGCGCCCAGTGCATGTAAATGCCCCAATTGGGCCAAGTAACTGCAGTGCGAAGGCCTATGTTCTACGCCGATTGCGCTTACAGATAAGTGACTAAGCCTCCAAAATGAGACGGGGAAACTATCGTGAGAAGTATATAAAGGCTAATCCGCAATGGAATTTGATGTTCATCAGACTTCGCAATCATCAGCGTCAAGTACCACCACCAAGTCTAAAGACTATACGCAGCCTTCAAACCTAACTCATCACAATGGGTACCACTACCAATGTACTCATCTCTGGCGCCAGTCGAGGTCAGTGTACTTACAGCTCTCGCTACCACCTCTCTTTCGTGGCTTGACAACCCATTGGCTCTTGAATCTCACAGAAATGGCAGGTATCGGCAAAGGGTTCCTCGAGCACTACCTCCGCCGACCACACCACACTGTCATCGCTGCTCTGCGTGACATTACCAGCCCTAACGCCAAAGCACTCCTTGAACTACCAGCCGGCAAGGGCAGCAGAGTCATCCTCGTCAAGATCGAAGCCACCTCCACAACCGATTCCTTCGACGCCGTAAACAAGCTTGAGGCCCAAGGCATTACTAAGCTAGACGTCATCATCGCCAACGCCGCCATTGTCGGCAACCAAGGTCCTGTCGAATCCATCGATCCCAAGGCTGTGGCCGACGTGTATGTCATCAACGCAGCCGGTCCGGCGCTTCTCTTTATGGGCCTGAAGTCTCTTCTGGAGAGGGCCGAGAACCCGAAGTGGATGGCAATGAGCTCGGCCGTTGCTTCAATTGAGGACTATCAGAAGTATATGTTCTTCAAGATGTTCCCGTATAATGCTTCCAAGGCGGCTTTAAACCATTTCACAAAGACAATTCACGCAGAGTATGAGAACATTATTGCGTTTGCTGTCTCTCCTGGGTAAGTGATCCCGCGCGAAAGTAGAGTTTCTTATAGGATTGCGCTGACGATGCCACTGTACCTTCAGCTTTGTCGAGACGGAGATGGGAAAGAATGCAGTCAAGGCTTACAAGATGGAAAACCCTCCATTCTCAGATCTTGATGAAGTGGCGAAGAAAATTATTGAACGGGTAAGCACCTGCTTTGTTTCTTGCTTCGCGTGCGGCGTAGGCTGACGATGGTTGGTTAGATCGACACGGCCACCAGGGACAATTACTCTGGACGTTTCATCCACGCGGATGGAACTCCGATTCCGTGGTAACCATGCGCCGAGCATTTGCTGTCATTCTTCGGCTTTGTCTTGAATGATAGCATTGTAGAATGGGTTTTCAGCTTCTAGGTTTGCGTTTGAGCGCCACAATTGACTATTTCCTTGCTCTGTGCATCTATGGCACTCTGTGTGAGAGGTGCGACTGTAGATCCGAACCTGAACTTGCTTGACTTTCAGAATTACGCTCTTCGTCCATTGCTGGATGGTCTGCTAAGTTTTCCATGCTCCCCCATCCAGTTGGCAGATTCATTTACTGCTCTGGCGTAGGCCACCCTTCCATATGCCTACCCTCTGCCTGCCACCTTGAACAGGGGCTTGGTTCCTATTCTAGTCCGCAAAAGCTTGATGCGCAAGGCATCTGCCTTGCGCAGATCAAACGGCTCGCCCGAGCTTGTCTGTGTGTAAGCGTGCTCGGTCGTGGCCGGGCCAGGGCGCTTTTTACCACCGAGCTTCCTCACCTAGTGCAAGACATTGCGTCAAAGTAGCACAGGGCAACAATGCCGTAGATCCGGCATTGTGGAAACTCGAAACGGAGCTATGATTGTTCTTGGCGCCGCGCTTAGATCCGAGATACTAGATCCTTATGCTGCGACCGGAGCTCCGCAGCGAGGCGTCGTCAGTGTATAGAGCATACATGGGCACCAGCGAAATGATTTGAGACGATCGGAATGGATAAATAAGAGACTGAGCGAGGTGTATACTGTAATTATGACACGTAGATTTCCATTTTATACATTCAAGCCAAGATATACAGCAGTTCAATCTACAGAACAAAGCCAACCCCCGTTCTACGTGTAGCCACGAGCCATGCCCGGCTAGACCCCCACCTACACCGAAGCTGACCCCCCTGACTTGGCCGGCTATATCATTATAGTTTCCGGTGCCACTGGAAGAATCGGTTCCAAGACAGCCAAGCCGCTAGCTCTACGCAACACCCATGTCTACCTCAGCGATATCAGTCATGCGTTGAGGGTGCGGGTTGGGGAGGCGTCGTGTGTGTTGAACAATACACTGAGAAATTCCACAGTAAATCAACAACATCGATGCACGAAATAAAACGTGGATCAATCGATACCTTTTAGCGTAATTAAACTATTTAGAACATGCCAGAGAATTTTACATACTGATAAAAGAGGCTACTGCTGAGTAAAGACAGAATTCGAGGTTAATCTTATATTTAGTGATCTTGATCCTTGATAGTGGCTTGTGAAGTGGGCAAATAAGAGGAATTATAAAATCAGGAGAACCCTGTCGAGTCTTTGAGCAGCCAATACGATGCATTATAAAATCGAAAGAATCGTCAGGAATACTTGGAGGACTTGAAAAATGAAGTACGCCTTCTGGGTGAAGAGCTCAGCTTGCGATAGTGAAACACAGCCAGACCACCTGGCACAGGTACGTATGAACACTGGCACTGAGGACATCAGAATAGATAGCGCGATGGAAGGTAAGAAGCCAGAAACAGCGCCAAGGATAACCTAAACGGTTGGATTAACACAACGATAGAAAGGAAGACGACTGCCAAATTTACCTGTGGAATATTCTGTATCAGGTTAGGCCAGGCAACTTGATGGTATTTACTTGCGCAATAATACCAACAATAGTTACAAGAAGAGCCTAAAATACAACAAGACCAGCAATGGCAGTGTAGATAACATATTGACGTATTGCAACCTGATACCATGACTAATTAAGGCTCTTCCAGATAACTTCGTTTAGCTTTCTGCCGATAAATCGAGGAGACTTTTGAAGGGCGCGGTGGTGTGTAGCGGCTTGAAAAGTAACCTGTATATTATATTAAGTAGAGAATCTGATAAAAAAGCAGTATGTTTCTTATAATCACCAGCAAGCCAGTTATTCTAAGCGTTCTGGGCTTTGGGGATAAGGCCCTTAAGCTTTTTTCGGCCCTATGGGATAGTGTCGACTTTCTTGCCGATAAGCCCTAAAGGGCCTTCGCGGTAGGTAGGTCGCTTGTCCTCGCGACTACAGCCGGTAATAAGGTTCCCATATTCAGGATCGGATGTGCTGGTCATTGCCCTTTCGGCCTTATTGCCTGTCTTCGTTCCATACTTAATGCGCTTCTTCTTATAGTCTGATCCATTCGATTTTTGCTTTCTCAAGATTTATAACCGGTTATCACCCTCTTAAATAGTCCTATCTAGCTGCTTAGTGTCGCTAGCAATCTAAATCTTTTTAGCCAAGCCGTTAAAGAGGCTACAGATATGGTCCTTATCGAAACACTCTTTCGGCACTAAAGTAAATAAGATAGTGCAGGATAAGATGCGCTTAGTATACTGTAGGGTCAGCAGAAAGGCTTACTGCAGGTTTATATAAAAAAAGAAGTTGTATATAATAGTATATATTATAAATATATATATAACCTAGGCTATAAAGTAATATGCTTATAATCTATTCCTCTTAGTTAAGTCTTTAATATTAATATTACTGTAGGAAAGAATCTTAAGCTGCTTCTTTTTATTGCTGCCTGTAGCATTAAGTAGAAGGAGAACTAGCTAAATAATGCAGAGAGTAATAAGGCAGATAGCGCAATAAATATAAAGGAATCTAATAAAAAGGTATAAATCTAGACTTTAGCGCTAAAGGGCATAGGTATCTAATACTTTCTAAAAAGCCCCTATCTAATAGAAGAATCTATTAGGTAGTATAGGACTGCATTTACTAGAAGATAGTTAGGATTAATATTTAAGATGCTAATGCCATCCTGTAACCTACTATTTATACAAAGTGCCTATATATGTTTAAGGCGCATAGAAACGCCAATTTAAAGTACAGAGGACGAGGAATATAATAATATAGATTATCAAAGTGGCAAGAACCAGTACTAAAGTGGAAACCATACCTAACTTATTCTCAGTCGTACTTTACATAATAATCATAGACCAGATTGCAGAATATTAGCTGCCAACTAGCCTCCTTGATTTATTAATATTATAACGTACCCAATAGGGACATAGGCTCCGCATTACTTGCTACACCCTGGTTCGGGTCAGATAAGCTCTTCTCTAAGAATTTTATAAGATTTTCCATCCCAATACTATCCATAAACATTTGTTTCCATATGGAAAGTTTACAAACATCCAGGAAGCAAAGATCCAGGTACTTATCACTAATACTGCGGTACTTTGTTTAAAGGGTATTAAGCTAGAATCGTCTAACTACTCTATTATAGAAAATGCGGAGAAAGGTATATATACAACTTTCTGCTACAGGGCTTCATAACTTCATGGCTCTACACAGCATTAGGACGACTGAGAATAGCATTGAAACTGTCCCGTATCTTCTAGTTCTTTTCTTGTTCAGATTTAATCAGGCCTATCAATCCTTGCTCTACAAACCAACCACTCATCCACTTGTCGAGGAGTCGACTAGTGATCTTCTACTCATTATCTCGTCCGTTTCCTTAAAGGCCTGAATCGTTACCTAAATTCAATTTGCCATTAATAATATCGACTGTAAAAAAAGATGCGCTCCTCAGGATATCTCGCTTCTCTGGTTGCCGCCGGCACCATAGCCGTTCCCCACAATGGCAACTTGCGGAATGACGACAAGCATTATGAGATTATTACAAAATTCAAGTACGTCACTCACTATATTATCGGTGGTGGAGGCGATGCTCCCCAGTGTACCTGCGTTTCTCAGCCTCAGAAGTCCAACTTTGAGAATCAGTCGGATCACTCTGGGCAATAAATTACCACTGCCATCTGCACCAAGCCTACAAACGTCGAGCCCGTCAAGAGGCCGACGCAAATCCCCAATCGGGATTCTGTTCCCGGCTTTGGTCCCAGCTACGGTCTCTATGCCAATCAGCAAGAGGCAGTTGATCTCCACAATGACGCCCGTAAAGCCGTGGGCAACGGACCTCTTTCTTGGGATGACTCACTTGCCGTGGGTGCCCAGCAGTGGGCGACTTTCTTTCTTTCTTTTTTTTTTTCACCTCGACATTTCGGCCTCGTGAGCCTGTAACCATGATGGGCTTTGTGTCCCTCGACTTCCCGTACTTCCCGACACTGATGGTCACTGCATCCTCACCCACCCATTCGTCGGCAGCTTACCGCTGCATCGATCGGCTACTACAGCTTAGCCTGCCTGCACAACTCGACTTTTTGGGCCCTCTTATGCCCTCGATCTCGACGCATGGTTCCCACATGGTTCGTGGCGCTTTTTGCAATTCGGAAGCTCCTTTAGCGATCTCTGCAGTTGTGTGCTACCCAGAGGCCCTCTTCCTCACAGCCTAGGCTACAGCCTGAGTCACTACCATGCAGTTAGTCATTACAAGGATGTCCGGTAACACTGCGGACTACGCTCCGTCCAGTAAGTCCCGGCTAGACACGGACTCACGGACTCACGGACTCACGGACTCACGGACTCACGGGCTGGTAAAACCCCGCGACTTTTAATGTAAGGTAGCTTTGCTTGATGTAGATTCGCTGCGTGAAGGGGGGAAAGTAAGCATATTCGTAAGCTTGGTGCAGACGTACTAACCGAATGAGGAGACATGTCGCGATCGGTGACGAGCCTTAGACCTTGCCTTTTCCAGTAAGCACACGTAAAGCTCCTCGATACCATTATCAAACTATAAGTAGGACACTTCCTTTCATTAAGGAGAAGCAAATAACAGAAGCTATAAAGATAGTCGCCAATAGCCTACACATCGTCCCCTCCAAGCTATATATCTACTAAAACAAATATCAGCCGCAGCCAGTCCAGCAAACCATGCCAATCAAATCAATCAACATCTCCGTTGCAAGCCATGAAACTAGAGAGGCCATGGTCTCTCTTATACAACGCGACATTAACTTCTTTTCCTACACCAACCCTGAAGAACGCCTCGCCGCTATCAAGGAGATATTCGCTCCTGACATCGTCTGGTTCGACTTTGACGGCTCTACACACCACGGCCATGATGGCTTGCTTATCCGATCATCTATTCTACTGGATCAGTTGAAGGGGTACTCGCATCGAGCTGATGGAGGAGCCAGTGTATGCCAGAATATGGCCACTGCACGTTGGGAGGTTGTCCCGGAGGGTAGTGAGGCAGATGATGAGCAGATACCGGTCATTCAGGGTGGTGACGTGCTTGTCGTGGAGGACGGGAAAATCAAGATCTTGTGGTCGTATGTCGATAGACATGATGAGGTTCTGTTCCCTCATTTGGGACAGTGATTTTGACTGAATCTAGGATGTTGCTCTAATACAATTAAGACGTGATAATTCTTTAGAGGGAAATTACAACACAACCGGCAAACTGCGCCATTTGATCGCTGATAAGGCTTTAATATACCCTCGGTCCATCTCCAGACTATTCCAGGTGCCTGCTTCTCCTGCAGTTCGCCAAGCACCTTATCGTTCCATATGGGCTCCAACCTTTCGTCCATGGAAAACAGTGAACCACTGGTCGTCCTGTTTAACAACAAATCACGTTCCTGGCCACCTTTCAGCGGGACTCCCCTCCCGCACCGTATGCTGCACTCGTGCTCAGGTACAAACGTCTTTCACCAGCTTGCTCCACGGCGGTGGATAGAAGTTTCATCAGCCTTGCGATGATACTCATTACCATGTTGCCGATCCAGTTATACAGCCAGCTGCAGGCCCGGGATTCTCGATTCCTCATCACTAGCAGATGCGATCTCGCAGAGACTAAACCGCGCTCCTGAGACATTGCAAGACACATCGAGAAAGTTGGAGTGCCTCCTAACGCCGATTTGCTGAATCTATAGGGGTCGATCCCAAAATATTCACTTCTATATTTACGGCGTCTCACAGCAGACCTTTCCTTTTCAGGTGTGCTTCCGTCCACTTCCATAGCCTGAGCGTCAGGTCTGCCTTGGTCGCGTTCTTGCTCGGCTTGCCGATCTTGGCATACGGCACGACGTACCCGCCCGAGTGATTCTCTTTGAAATCCGCGCTGGCGATGGCAAAGACGGACGAGATGCTGCCGTTGTCGACGTCGTCGAGGATTCCCATGCAGCGCAGGATGGACGTTAACTTAGGCGTCGTATCGAGAGACCTGGTGTTGTCAGTATACTGGCGTTCATTTAATGGTGCTGGCACTCACGTGTGAATATGCCCAGGATGCACAGCAGCAGTCCATATGGCGCCCTCTACTCCCGAGCCCGGCCCGTATCGTCGATTCAGCTCCTTTGCGTGCAGCACGTTTCCCAGCTTCGATTGCCCGTAGCGCGTCATGGAGCCGGCGACTTCCATGTTGATGTCATCGAACTTGATGCCCTCGGATGGCGCGAAGAGGCTGTGGCCATCGGAGGTGACATTGACGAAGCGAACTGTGCCTGGCGGGCTGGCCATGGCCGTGGCCGTGAGAAGAGGGAGGAGTTGGTATGTCAAGAGCCAGTGCGAGACGTAGTTTGTCTGTTGGCTGTTAGAGTCAGTGGGGTAAGTGAGTCGGTGGAAAACAGACCTGAAACTGCCCTTCGTAACCGTCTGCAGTGATCTCGAAAGGGGTATTCATGATACCCGCATTGTTGATCAATCCATGGAGAGCAAAAGGATTTCTCAATATAAGCCCTCTCCTGGCCGACTGCCTTTATCCCACTAGGCAGATGATTTGGTACGTACACGACGTAGGGTCGAGCCCGGATATTGAGAAACTCATTGACGACAATACGGAGACGCTACAGATGCTACGGCGGAAGTGGGAGGTGGCGAGTAAGTGCTTATTTTTAGGCTTGTCGACCAAACTGCTAATATAGGTTCTTTAGACCAGGCTCTTCTGCAGGATATAGAATGCTCTAGACATAAAAAGACCTGTGGCCCAGCTAGACTCGCCTAGACTCAGTTAGAGAATACTTCAGCTAGCTATAAATTACCTAAAAGAGAAGAGGCTATTGGCAAGCTTGTGCGCAAATGGACTAAACAGTAAAAGTTGTTCTGAGACATTGACAAACTATTAAGTTCTAGGCCATATAACACAGACTAATAAATACAACTACAGATCTAACAAAAGCCACTGCATGTGGCTTTGCTGTAAACTGTTGTTGTTCAGGAGGAATTTAAGAATAATTTCAGAGAAGCGGGGTAATAAGAGAATGAGAATAAAATAAGAGCAATGTGGCTATCTTTATATTTCTCATATAGGTCAAAGTAGTCATAAGACTATATTTTGTTCTCTTATATTCATTCTTACTTTAATTTCTGGAATGAAACATAGACACCATTGGCATTGCCACAACCAAGCGCAATCTCCTTAGTCCAAGGCTTTGGGTCCATCGATTGAATTGATGTGAACTCTTGAGCAAACCGCATTATAACCAGCAGAGACTCGGTAATGGCATATTGTTGACCAAGACAAATGCGTGGGCCCCCATTGAAAGGCAAGAAGAACTAAAAATAATCAGTGTTATGCTAACCTTTCGCAAAGCCAGGATCCAAAGCTTTAACTTACCCATGAAGGTCTGAGAGACTCCCATCTCTCGGGACGAAATTCCCCAGCATCTTGGCCATACAGATCTTTACGACGATGCATGGCGTAGACAGTGTAATTCACCATGGAGCCCTTTGGAACATGAATAGGATGATCACCATTTGGGCCGCCACCATGGGGAAGAATCGTATCCCGATATGCCATACGGCCATTGCTAGGGACAGGAGGATGGAGGCGTAGTGCTAAAGTCATGTCAGCGAGGGTCTTGGACGAAAAATTACACTGACATTCGTTGATGCAGTACTTAGCATATGTGAGATGGCGAAGCTGCTCGTATGTTGGTTCATTTGTGTCTAGATGCTTAACTTCATCTCGAATCTTGGTCCAGATATCTGGTCTTCGTGCAAGGATAAAGAAGAGATTACCCAATAGATTCGAGGTGGTGTCTCTTGCAGCTATCAAGACGCTTAACAGCTCTGCGCGTATCTTTTCCTTCGATACACCCGAACTAGCAAGCTGCCTCAGTAGACTGCCATGCCGGTTATTAGATTCATTCTCTCTTGGTACTTCCCTAGCCAAAGTCGATGTGCGAAGAGCCATAGCTTGATCGACATAATGCTCGACATAAGACCGTGGCCCGGCCCATGGGCCGACCCGTGATCCCTGTACCTTACGTGTACCTGGATAACAAGCTTTGAAATCAAAAGGACCTCGCTTAAGAGCTCATTCGTCAGGGCGTGGTTCTATCCGTCCAAACATCATAACTTGTCAGCCCCTCCCTCCATTTCATCTGTGAGCTTATCCTTCTGTTACCTGCCGTTTGTGCAGACGATGTGTTACAATATGGTCGGCATAGCTTTACTTGGAGCCGGAATCTTTGCGAGAGAACGTACTTCGATCCCTCTTGAGCTGTTTATCAATGGCAAGGTTGCATTGCAGAGGAGCTTTTGAGTCAATGTTGCGCTGACACGTTACAGAACACTTACCAGCTATTGAGTCCGTTGGACACCTCAGCCTCAAAGCCGTCTACTCACGCTCTGAGGAAGCGGCAATATCGCTTGCGAAGCAGGCCCAGGACATGGTTGATATCTACTTTGATAGCCCCCCCACAAGTGGAAGGTCACTTGACGATCTCCTCGCAAGGTCTGACATAGCTGCAGTGGCAGCATGTGCTACCATTCTAGTCCAGCCCCAACTTATCCGGAAAGCTCTGAGAGCCGGAAAGCATGTGTTGAGTGAGAAGCCGATAGCACAGGACACTGCAACTGCGATTAGCCTTGTCCAATGGTACAGTTCTCAGTCCAGCCCTCCGATATGGGCCGTTGCTGAGAATTTCCGATTCAATGAGAGTCTGAGGTATGCCGAGATGAGAACCCGAGAAATCGGGGGAGAACTTGCATCCTTCCGTTTGAGCTACTATGGATTGATAAGAAACGAAAACAAATACTTCAAGACCGAATGTAGGTAGAAAGTACTGTGCTTAGCCTTGACACAAATACTGATACGTTACAGGGCGCAAGACTCCGGAATTCCAAGGTGGTTTCCTTCTTGATAGCGGAATTCACTTTATTGCCAGCCTCAGGCTTCTGCTACGTGCCGTTGGACAGGAAGCTAAGGAGGTAATGGCCTTGTCAAGTTTGCTAAAAGAGCATCTCCCTCCTGTTGATACTGTTCACGCTATCATATCTACCACTGATTCTCGACACGGAGCAGTTTGCATCTCCTTTGGGGTAGAGCACAAATCCACTCTGGAGATCGAAATCATTAGTACTCATGGCGTTGTTGTTTGGACGCCTGTCAGTGTACAATCAACCATCAAATCAGATTCTGGGGATTCAATGAATGAGACAAAGGAATTTATCTACAACAATGGTGTCAAGGCAGAATTTGAGGCATTCGCTCAGGCCATATTGCAGAAATGCCCAGACCCACGTCAGACTCCTCTGGAAGCCCTCAAAGATCTATCTCTTCTGCAGGGTCTGTTGGATTCTGCCGCATGTAATGGCTCGATGAGGCCTGCCAAACTTGAGTGAGGATCGAATAGTACATTCTTAGCAAGTTCGTCAGGGTAAGGCCAAACAACACAGACTCATAGATACATAGACACATAGTGAGTGCTGATTCAATTGCTTGCATTACATATTGGGGCTTTTAATATCAAGCATACAATAATTGAGGAATTGATTATGATTATACCATATGACATTTTATCAGGACTTTTATTCTAAGAGATTTCTTATTTATAAAAAGACACTTTTCTACTTACCTTCCATAGAATGACAGGCTAAATATAATACTATCCTGCTCTCTCAGGCTTAGAAGGAGCCCTCCTGGGCTGTCTTTCAACAAGGAGTACCAATGATAAAATAGATGCGATTGAGAAGTAAAGCATTACCCTCATCTGCTCCGAGGAGGCATCTGCATACAGAACTCTTATCCGAGATTGTGTCTCGGGCGAGAGCATCCCGATGTTTTCTGAGGACAGCAGTATTTGTGCAACTTGCTCTGCTGTTAAGAACTTGACAGCTTCTCTCTTTATATGGTTGATCAGCAAAGCGGAACAGACGGCAAGCCCGATTGTGCCTCCCAACACTCTGATCTGCGTCACAGATCCCATTGTGACGGCTAAGGTTGTGTTAGTTGAGAAATGTCAATGATTTGGTAGTGGAATTGGGAGATCATACCTAGATCTTTCTCAGTGACAACTAGTGGCACCATCATCAGGATTGTACTGAGGTTGAAGCCGAAACCGAGGCCCATAATAGCCTCGTAGCCATATTGGGCCGAGGCAATAGATGTTGATGATTTTAAGGAGCTATATAGGCCTACTCCTATTGTCTGCAGTGAACCTCCGAGGAAGAGCGTGTAGAGAGGAGGAACTCCCAGCTTAGAGACCAGTATCCCATTGATAGCAGTCGCCAAGGGAGATAGAAGAAGTAGGGGCAGTGTGCGAATGCCAGCGTTGATAGCCGATGTCGTGTTGACCGTTTGGAATCTCTGCGGTATGTTGATAAGAGCAGCCATAAAGGGGAATCCGGTAAAGAAACCGTTCCTGGACGAAAGTGGAATTAGTTAACCGAGGACTTGGGATTGACTGACTGTGGACTTACAAGAGTAGTCCCATGACAAACCTGTTGTGCACCAAGCTCCAAGGAAACATGGGCTCACGGACACCGTCTCTACTAGACAGCAGTCGCTCCCAAGCAACAAAGGCAATCCAAAAGACACCAGAGAGTACAAAAGTTGATACAATAGCACCACTACCCCACGGGTAGGCCACCCCACCTTGCTCGAGTGCAAAGATGATAAGGATGGAGGCAGCTAATGACACAGCCATACCCACAAAGTCAACCCGCTTCCACATTTGTTTCGAGGCGAGGGAATGAAAGAATTGATCGGATTCGCCGTAGGGAAAGTTGAATGGGACCGAGAAGGCGAGAAGGACAGCAGCAAGCGCTCCCCCAGGGCCACTACAAGTAATGAGTCACTAAACAGTATCTTCATTGCAATGGAAGAAAATGGAACTCACTTGAAGTAGAACACCCAGCGCCATGTCGTGTGGTCTGTGATTGCTCCTCCAAGGATCGGGCCGAGGACACTTGAGAGAATAAAGGTTGACGACATGATAGAGATATAGGTTGCGTATTTGTCGGGAGGCACCATGAGCGGTACCATGATTGTCGACAAAGAGTAGATACCGGAGCCTCCCATCCCCTGAAAGGCGCGGAAAACGATTCTATAGTAAAGATAGACGATGATAAGGCGCATGAGGTTGGTATTATGACAGAGAATTGACATACAGAGGTACCATGGAGTCAGAAGCACCACACGCCATAGAGAAGACGGTAAATATCGTGATCGCAAGCAAAAGCATTAGCTTGCAGCCAAATATGTCACTTAGCTTAGAATAAATAATGAGGAAACCTGAGATCTCTTAGTGCCTATACCAGTCTTGGAAACCAGAGTAAAGTTGGCTCGGATCATACCGGTGTATGTTACCAAGTAGGATGTCACGATCCAACCGGCCATATTGAAGCCTTCAAGGGCATCCACGATTGAGACCAGGGCCGTGCTTACAATGGTAGTTTCCAATGTCGACAGCAAGAGGCTCAAGCAGAGGCTACGCCAATGGCAATCAGCTGCGAAGCAAGGGCAATTGAGCGAAAGTAACCTACGCTGAGGTCAAAGCATGAAGCCTCCATCCAGTATGGTACACCTTTTGTTTGGTCGCATTGTCTGATGAACCAGCCGCAACCTCAACATTCCTGTTATTGTCGCTCAAGACCGAGCCGTGGTTGCCGGATGAAGCTTCAGCTTCAGTGACCGAGTCGGGCAATCTACATGCATCGTCAGCAGACGGGTTGTTGCTGTCGTCGTTTGTCTTGGCGGGAGTCCCGGGCCGAAAGGCTGGTAAATGTTTCAATGGCAAGTCTGGTGTTTCCGACATGATGGGAAGAGAAATGTGCCAGAGTGAGTTATAAGAGCTCAACTGGCGTAAAAAGGACAGAGCGCAGTTGAGGGCTTCAGGCTTTGCGTGGGTTTGACCACTACGGACAGGTAAACGGAACAAAGGAGAAAAAGAGTGGGGGATGAATTTGTGGTCAGCTTTACGAGAAGGGGCAACAACAAAGATTTCAGCCTCAGGAAACAAGAAACAGAAATTTCTAATTCCCGGGCTGCCTCCACCTTTTGGTCTGTGCGTTTCCTGTGAAGTTCAGGGGGCGCGTCGCGGGCGGGGTGAGGTAGTCAGCAAGGGGGATAGATAAGGAGCCCGATTACCCTGTATCTGCAAATGGGGGATATTGTATCACTCTTGATTGGAGCGGTACACTGCGCTCACAATGTCTTAGATGAACAGGTTGCCATTTGAATTTTTACTATAGTTGTTTATTTACCTAACGATGAGCTGTTGGGTTTTGGTATTGCATTTCTCCAATGACATCTTGGTTGCGATTCTGCTCCTTGAGTTTTCCGACTTCTCCCAGCGAGATCGTCAGCGAATAACCCATTTCGGCACAAATGTCTCACTTGGTGAGACGCATGATAAGCAAATTTCGGTCAAGGGGAACCGCACGTCTTTTCCTTAATTGCCTAATTTGGACAGTTGCGTCTCTAGGTAAAGTTGGGCAGAACTTGATTCCCTCGGCATGACATTCTTTCCGGTATTATTTCCGCTAGTGGGATGCTAAATCCTGAACTCCCCTGTACCTAGATTGACTGAGCCAATTAGCTGGCTGAAAAGAGCCAAGACACTAAGATTAAGCATATATTTAGCCTTTGTAAATTTATTTAAGATAAGGAGCTGCATGCGTAGCCCTTCCCCTATCTAACAGATAAAAGTAAAATGCCACAATTGCATCAGAGATAAGGATGCTTCAACTACCATCGTCGATCAGCGAGAGGATTCGCTCATGGGCGAAAAAGATGGTGTCAATCTTTCCCGACATGACAGAAAACACTCGGCCGCGACGCGAAACTCGACAGCTGCGGTCATCATAAGCCCCTAGCGGCTTGGTCTTGACGGCAAGCTGTGGGCCAATGTAACGGAACGTTTTGAGGAACGTGGGGAGGTAGTGCATAATCTGTTCCTCCATAAGCGCCCGCTTGGCTGATATGGTTGCAGGGCTAACGTCGTCCCGTGCCGCCCGAGCTTCTGCTGCAGTCTTGAATTGTCCGAGAGGCGTGTGGGGGACGCTAGACAAGGTAAACAACCCCGGCATTTCGGTAGGGTAGACGGAAGCCAGGGGGCCATCGACCAAAGTCACAGCCGGAAATTCTGAAGGCCCCTCGTAGTAGAGCAACAAGGTGGCCTCGTATATTACCTCCAGGTCCAGGTCCATGTAATGCCCCCACGTCGCATCCACCACAAAGTCAAAGCGTTCACCTTCGATCAAGACGCCATCCTCCACCTATTGGATGTTCGAAACTTGTTGCCCAAGCTCGAGGGCTCCTTTGAGTGCTGCCTCAAAATAGGCACGAGCCTTGCTCAACAGCAAAACCCTCTTGGGCACGCACATAATGCCGTCAACGTTAGTGATATGAACACCCGCAGGTGCCCCTTCGGTGAACGCTACCCCGCTTGAGGCCATGGTGGCCTTGTAGGTATTGTAATCAAGCAGGGAATCTTGAGTGGGTACAGCGTAGATGTTGAAGGGCACAATGCGGCTGAGTTCGGGGTAGTGCTCGACGAAACGCATAAAGCCATCTCTTGACTGGAGACGTGTACCACTGTGACGGGCATAATAGAAGCCCATATGCAGCCTGAACTGGTTGTTGCCAGATGCTTCATGTAGCAGTCGCTATGCTGTTCAAACAATTTGACGCGAAAGCCGAGAGCGCGAAGCGATGTTGCAATGTGACAGCCATACCATCCACCACCGATGATGCCAAAACTGTGGGGGTTGATGCAGGAGTCTTCGTCAATCTTTGTGTTTCCATTGATACCATTACCATTACCATTACCATTGTGAAGTTCCTTCTCGAGGTTCGGCATATTGGTGCGTTTGCGTCTTTTGAATAATAACTTTGAGGATATTATTCTTTATGTCTCGCTAGACTCTAGAGGTACCAAACGAGCTTTTCGATGTATATCTAGTATTGGCCACAATATGCAACCGCAAAGATGATAAAAGCGATTTCAAGGATCTCTGTAGATGTATTGGGCTTTGATATATTTGTGATTGGGATAATGTGACCTTTTATCTTCTCCTTGCTCATGAACTCGGTCTTGAGTCCTTGACTTGGGAGACTTGATACATTAATGAGCTCTGTGCATTTCCTCGATGACCGAAAAGTTCCCCCTAGCTCGGAACAGTGTATTCTTCTTACTGAGTCTGGTGTTTGTGGAGGGTAGATAAGATTCTCAAGGGTCGGAACAAGATTGTCAGCACAATATACATATACCTTGCAGAATACAATGGTGGGAGATGCAACTCTGTCGATAAGCAACACATTTTGTATTGATGGAAATACTGTGTAAGCATATCGCGTTTATCTGTTACATTGAGCTCTGCAAATCTGACTTGACAATCGACTTGGCGGTTTGTGATCTTGCCACGTAGCATTAGTACTTGAACAAGAAGGCGCATATTCTGAGACTGATTACCTTTCACAGCGTATCAAGATGACTCTGATTACTATCTCTATACATCCTCCAGAGTGTCTTGATTCTTGGATAAACTCAAACTCTCCATCAACTGAAGTTCCCAACAGCTTTGCCCTCCACGCCATGCGTATACTTTGCCTTCACGGAATGGGCACCAACAGCAAGGTACGTAGCCGTCGCATCATGATTACAAACAACCTACTGTAACATACTCTAATACAGACTCTAGGTGCTGGAGATGCAGACATGTACATCACGTTCCTTCACACCGTTCAGATGATAGCATGGACTGACTTCATTGTAGCTGCACTCCGACATCAGCTCAGCCATTCACAATCGCACAAATACGAGTATGTTGATGGTGGGGAGCCCATGCCGCCTGCTCCTGGTTAGTCATTGAGTCATTTGTTTACTTGCTTAATCAAGACTCTTACACATAACATAGGAATAGAAGCCTTCATTGGTCAGGATGAGAGCCTTGCATATTACCATCCACACTCGGCAAAGAGCATTTTGACAGCCATTGGCGACCTATGGGAGTACACTGCCGAGGAAGGTCCCTTTGACGGCGTCTTGGGCTTCTCCCAAGGCGCATCTCTAGCCGCTATGATCATTGCTCGTGCCCGCCACTCTAACCCACCACCTTTTCAGTTCGCTATATTCTTCTGTGCAGGACTACCTTACTGTGAGAAGTCTTTGTCTGCAGGCGAGGTTAAGTTCCTGAGGGCTGAGGACACGCAAGGTCCCGTTATTAATGTGCCGACAGCTCATATTTTTGGCAAAAAGGACCCTGATGTTAGCTATAGTAAAGCTATGACTGAATTGTGCCATCCTTGGGGAAGAGTCCTTCTGGACCATGGAGCTGGGCATGAGATCCCGCGAGTGCCTGTTGAGATGGTGGATGATATGGCACGCGCAGTAGAGAAAGTTGTCACCAAGGCAGCGATCGGTCAGTAGCTATGAGTAGATTGATAGAAGAGATAAAGTACACGAGATAAATCATAGTAGTGCCATATTAACAGCTAACCGAGTGGTCCATGCAATGAACCCCAACAGAAGAAAAAGAAAAAGCGTAATATCGATGTTGTTGAGCTTGATCCAAGACATACGCACGTCAGGTGTCTGAAGATGCATTGGACGCAACTCGTTGCCTCGTGGATACACGTATCTTGGGTTTAAAGCCTGCAAAGACTCCTTTTCACTGTTCGCGGATGCTCCAAGATTGAGAAGAGACTTTTCGAATCTACCATCCCAATCATATAAATGCTCCTCAATTAGATTGGCAGCAAAGTGCTTCTTCCGCGATCCGACTATGGCAATTTTATGCATACGCTTGACGTTTCTCTGGAAAGACTCTTTGTCAAACAAGAGTATGGTTCTGATAGCTGACATCAGGGAAGATACATCGAAATTTTCTTTGTCAAGACGGACTGCAACGCCAGATCGTTCCAGTCTCAGTGTGGTGACCATCTGATCACCAAATATCCCCATTGCAACCATAGGGACACCATGAAAGATAGATTCATTGACAGATGAAGGTCCAGCGTGTGTGACGAATATAACTGTAGAATCATGTTCGAGGACCGAACGCTGCGGTACCCAGGTAGCAAAGTGCCACGCTTGGTCCTGATTCTTGAATAGTTGATCAATGGTCAAGTGAGATAGGTGAGATGATGGGACTCGAATACTGGTATCGAGTCGACCACGACTTCTAGCACTTAGTGCCCAGACGACACCGTCGATCAAGCCGAAAGAAATGGCACCAGCGAGACCGTTGATGATCTTGAAGATTTTTGCGTCGTCCAGAATAACATGTGTACCAAACGCAACTAAAGCGATACTTTGATGTTCCTCTAGAAAGGACTTGATGTCTCCATCAAGGGCAGAATATGAGTCCGCCAAGATGGGGCCTACAGGATGAACCAAAGGTGGAGTGTCTCGTGGTGTTTCCATGCCATAAAAGTTGTTCAGAAACACAAGATAGTCCGGCTTGGAAAGTTTAGGCCGAGGCGCAACCCCTTCCTTTCTCCGCATGGCCTTGGTCCAAAAGATCCAATGAAGAAAGAATGGCGCCGAGCGAAGCAAAAAGGTCATTTCAAACAACCTATCATAAATGCTTGCATGCTCGCTGGTCAAGCATATTTGCTGCATACCAGGTTGACCCGGAATGTACTTCTGAGGCATCATCAACCATGGCATCTGAGGCCACATGACTGCATGGGGGAGCCGAAACTCATTGCAGACATCCAGAGCCGCTTCAACGTGGAAGTCGGAGAAGATAAAATCAGGTTTGGTGGTAGTGATTACCTCCTTCAGACCGCGATATGTAAAAGGCCAGAACTCATCAAATGCCATTTTGCCTTTGACAATATCTCGGTTCCCTTAAGCAGTGTTCCAATCTGACCCTATTATAGCAGGATATCCAATAAATAAAGTCCTTAGAATAAACATTAGTGTTTTTATTGGTTGCTTTATTTGTGAATATAAAGCCATTATGTTTAAGGAGACCGAGATACAGCAGCGTTACTTTACTACTGGCACTGGAACAACCATGCTTGCCAATCGACTGAGCTATTTCTATGACCTTCATGGGCCTAGCATAAGTCTTGATACAGCGTGCTCCAGTAGTCTCAACGCCTGTCACCTAGCCTGTAATAGTCTAAGGTTGGGCGAGTGTGACATGGCATTAGCAGCTGGCTGCAACCTGTTCTACAACCCTGATACCATTATCCCACTCACAGCCCTTGGCTTTCTATCTCCTGATGGGAGATGCTACAGTTTTGATGAGCGGGCCAATGGATACTCACGTGGTGAAGGGTTCGGAATGGTTGTGTTGAAGAGATTGAGTGATGCTATCCGTGATGGCGACTGTATTCGTGCCATCGTTCGAGGCTCCTCAAGCAACCAGGACGGCAACTCACCTGGCATCACACAACCTACTCGTCAGGCGCAAGTTGACTTGATCAACGCCGCATATCAATCAGCTGGTCTATCCAAAACGCAGACACGCTTCTTCGAGGCCCACGGTACGGGTACTCCAGTTGGTGACCCCATTGAAGCGAGTGCTATCAGCGGCGCATTCTCAGAGTATCGCTCCGAGGAAGAGCCAATGGTTGTTGGCGCAGTTAAGACAAACATTGGCCATTTTGAAGGCTCGGCCGGGATTGCAGGTCTCATCAAGGCCATAATGGTCCTTGAGAAAGGCATCATACCTCCTAACATGGGCTTCCAGACCCCCAACCCCAAGATCCCTGTTCATGATTGGCATCTCAAGTTCCCAACCAAGCCTGAAGCTTGGCCTTCTAAAGGACTCCGACGAGCCTCAATCAATGCCTTTGGCTATGGTGGAAGCAATGCTCACATAATTATTGATGATGCCTATCACTACCTCCTCGAGCATGGCTTGAAAGGCAAACACCAAACTATTGAGTTCCCACCGGTTGAAGGCTTGAAGTCTTCCATCAATGGTACGAATGGTACGAATGGTCATTCAAACGGTATCACTAATGGCCACGCCAACGGTCATCAGTCTACTTCTAGCTCAAGTGACGATGAGTATATCTTGGTCAAGCACTTCAAAGGTCATGGCCCCCCTAGTCGTTCATTCTTCTTTTCTACCTTCGATGAAGCTGGATCAGTCCGCATGGCACAAGAATACAAGGAGTTCCTTGATTCCACCAGCAAATCAATATTTGCGGGTCTGAGGAAGAACAACGCTTCTTGAGTAATCTTTCTTTTACCCTCACCAAGCATCGCACACCCTTCCCCTGACGGTTCTCCGTCGCCGCAGACAGCATCGCAGCTTTGTCGAACAAGTTAGAGAGCAGCCCTTCACCTGTAAGAGCCACTACTGACCCTAAGCTTGGATTTGTCTTTACTGGACAAGGTGCGCAGTGGTACGCCATGGGTAGAGAATTGTTCTCTGCTTATCCGACATTCAGTACGTCTATTTTTGCTGCAGACCTATATCTGAGAGAGCTGGGTTGCCCTTGGTCACTTGTCGGTGAATTGCTTCAAAACCAAGACAAGTCACGCATCGATGATCCTGCATTGAGTCAACCAATCTGTACAGCCTTGCAAGTGGCTCTTGTTGACCTCCTCGCTACTTGGGGTATCAAACCAGCTGCCGTAGTCTGTCATTCATCGGGAGAGATTGGTGCTGCCTATGCTACAGGTGCCATATCGCAGGAGTCGGCCTGGAGGTTAGCATTCTATCGCGGTGCTCTGTCCTCTCGCCTGGCCATGTCTCCCGATCATACGAACGGAGCCATGCTCTCAGTGGCCATGAGCTCACCAGATGCCGTGTCATATCTCAAGGAACATGTTGGCAGTGCCTTGGGTAGAGACATCGTTGTGGCCTGTATCAACAGTCCGAGAAACGTGACGCTCAGTGGCAGTGCAGCATACATTGACAAGATCAAGGCTGCTGCAGACTCTGATGGTATTTTTGCCCGCAAGCTCAAGGTTGATAACGGTTACCATTCACCTCTGATGGCCACCATTGCAGATGAATACAGAAGCTTGATTGGCGACCTCGAGGCTGGAACCAATATATTACCAGGCCAGGTCGCTCCAGTCTTTTATTCGTCCCTCGGAGGGACAGTCAGCTCTGCCTCTGCTCTTCAGAACCCCGATCATTGGGTTGACAACCTGGTCTCGCCAGTCCAATTCTCCAAAACCTTCTCACTCATGTGCTCCAACACCAGTTCCAGCGCACCAGTCAAGAAGCTTGGATCTTCGGCCAAAGCAACAGTCAAGCCCCCGAAGATTACTCAAGTACTTGAGATTGGCCCGCATGCGGCATTGCGTGGCCCCATTCGTGAGATAATGGAGCTTACGCCAGAAGTGAGTGGCATTGGATATGAATCAGTGCTCCGTCGTGGTACTTCTGCGGTTGACACTGCTTTGGGCGCCGCCAACTGGCTTTGGTGCTGAGGGTACGAGGTGGACATGTCTGACGCCAGTATTGCAAAGGACAGCTTCCTTGTAGTCAACGCACCGGGATACCCTTTCAACCACTCCAACATCTATTGGAATGAGAGTCGTATCAGCAAAGGATACCGCTTCCGTCCTGCTATGCGACATGAACTATTTGGTGCCCCCGGTGCCAGATTGGGATCCAGCCAATGCTGTGTGGCGGAACTACATGCGTCTTTCAGAGAACCCTTGGGTGAAGCATCACCGAATCACTGGTGCTACCATCTACCCCGCCGCAGGAATGCTTGTTATGGCCATAGAGGCTAGTCGACAGATGGCAGACATATCTCGTGTAGTCAAGGGCTTTCGCATTCTCGACGCTCGCTTTAATGTCGCTCTTCGCGTTCCAGCGACGCAGAATGGTCTGGAGACGCACTTTTATATGCAGCGCTCGAGAGACCATCCCGACACTGTGGCGAGGACAGTTCGCAAGTTCTCGCTCAGTAGTTATGAGGGCGGTGAATGGCGTGAGCATTGCCATGGTCTGGTCGTCACAGAGTACGAACAACCTTATACTGTCGTTGATGATGGAAGAGAAGACTTTGAGTTCCAAGAAGCATGCAAGAATAGGCTTACGAGCGTTGAGAAGGCCTCAAAAGTTGAGACCTCATTTCGGCAGCTCTATGAGCATTTATCGACCGTCGGCCTTGACTTTGGCGCCACTTTCCAGACTCTCCGCGATATTCGCTGTGGTGACATTGGCGAAGCTGTGGCGACTGTGGAGAGGCAAGATCTTGAGAGCTTGATGCCTCTGGGCTATCTTCAAGATCACTTGATTCATCCCACCGTACTCGATGGTATCCTCCAGAGCATCATTGTCAGTTTGACAAAGGGTGGCCGCGAGATTGACCAAGTCATGGTTCCTTCCGAGATTGGCGACCTCTGGGTATCTGCTGATCCCTCAACATCCAAGTTCGATGCTGTTCGCGTCTCTTGCTCAGGCAAGTTCCTGGGCATTAGGCAGGCTGAGGCGCGCATCGTTGGTATGGATGTTGAAACCGGCAAGGTCGTTTGTACGGTTGACAACTTTGTCATCACTACTGTGGCACGAAGCGAAGGCGCTTCTTCGTCTGACGCTGCCAGAAGACTCTGCTTCAACCTCGATTATAAGGTAGACCCAGCTCTTCTGGATCAAGAGACCGCAGACAAGACACTCCAACCTGATGCAAAATGTGGTGCTACTACTCAACAAGCCCAGTTGATTCAGGAGGTGGAGATGATGTGTTTCTTGTATATCAAACGGTTCTGGGACAGGATCTATGATGAGAACCGCGACGCCAAGTCAGTACCCTATCACAAGAAGTACATCGCCTGGATCAGGCACCAACTGGAGAAGTATGACGCTGGCCTTATCCCTCATGCCATGCCCGAATGGCGGGAACGAGCAGCCGATGATGAATACATCAGCCAAATGGAGACCAAGCTTCTCAAAGAGGGCTCAGCTGAAGGAAAGCTAGTCGTCAATGTTGGACGAGAACTTCCTAACATCCTCGCTGGCAAGTCTGATGCACTGGAACTCCTCTTCAAAGACAAGCTGGTAGAAAACGTCTACCGTTCTGGAGTCGGGGCTGAGATTGGTTATGACCGCATGGTGGCCTATATCGATGCTCTGGCCCACAAAAACCCAGCTCTTCGCGTTCTCGAGGTTGGTGCTGGAACTGGTGGCGCCACAAGACCCATTCTCAAGTGTCTCACGACACAAGGTAATGGAGAGACTGGGACACCACGGTTCAGCCACTATGCGTTTACAGATATCTCGATTGGCTTCTTTGAGAACGCCCGAGAAATGTTCAAGGATAGTGCTGCACGCATGAGTTTCCGCGCGCTCAATATCGAGGAAAACTTAGAGCAACAAGGGTTCTCGGGCCCGGGAGAACAGTACGATGTCGTCTGCGCTGCCAACGTCATCCATGCAACAAAGAACCTGGAGGCGACCTTATCCAACGCGAGGAAGTTGCTAAAGCCTGGAGGTAAACTCATATTGTATGAGATGACAAACACTGGCATGATACGGACAGGCTTTGCCTTTGGATTGCTGCCCGGTTGGTGGCTATCTGTCGAGGACTTCCGTCAGTTCACACCACTGGCCGCTCCGAATGACTGGTCCAGATCTCTCAAGGCCAGTGGATTCAGTGGTATCGATCTGCACATCTATGACTTTCCAGATCATAGGCATCAGATGGTCAGCGTCCTCATCTGCACAGCGCTTGGTGATGGAAGTGAAGAAAATGCACCAACCACTTCCTACTCCTCGTCAACTATCAAGATAATCACTTGTGGTGCGGGATCCGGCTCAGCCACCCAAGAGAGCCTTGCTACAATTCTTGAGAAGCAAGCGGCCAGCCTCAGCACTAGCGTCGATGTTGTCAACTTGCACGATGCTGTGGCAGATCTCAAGGATCTGCAGCAAACTCGTTGCATCTTCCTAGGGGACATCGAGTCCAACTTTCTGGAACAAGTTCATGACGATGACTATGAAGCTTTCCGGAAGTTGATTGGTTCCACCAAGACACTACTCTGGGTCAACCAGGGAGGTGGTCCCTCACCCAAGAACCCTGGCGCTGACATGGTGACTGGTTTCGCTCGCTGCATGCGTGCTGAAAACCCAGGACTAAACTTTGTCACTTTATCTGTCCATGACTTGGACTCTTTTGACAAGGCCGGCTCCATCATCTTGCGAATCCTGAGTTCAGGTGGTGGAAGTGAGAACACCTTCTTCGAGAAGGACGGCGCTGTCTATATTCCACGTATCACCGAGGCCAACACAGTCAATCATCTCATCGCTGCCAAGACTAAGGGTGAGCCAGCCAGGTCAGAGACATGGCAGGATGCTAGCAACGGTAGAGCCTTGACCCTACAGTGTGCTGTGCCTGGTCTCCTTGACAGCCTTCAGTTCCAAGACGACGAGCTTTATGAGAGGCCTCTCGGACCTTATGATGTCGAGGTACGCGTTCACGCCACTGGCCTCAATCTTCTTGATGTCATGATAGCTCTAGGTCAGGTCATCGGCGAAGCGTTTGGACAAGGGTGCGCCGGCGTGGTGACTCGCGTCGGAACAGACGTTGAACGAGTCTCTATCGGCGATTCTGTTTGTGTTCTTCTCAGGGGAACTTTCAAGACTTTTGCACGAGGCTCTCAGTGGCAGTTCGCCAAGATTCCCTCAACTATCGACTATGCGGTGGCCTCAGCAGTGCCAGTTGTTTACACCACCGCATACTATGGACTTCATGACCTCGCGCGCCTCCAAGCCGGCGAGAGCATCCTGATTCACTGGGGTGCTGGTGGTGTCGGGCAGGCTGCTATCCAGCTCGCCAAGGCGGTTGGAGCTGAAGTGTTTGTCACCGTGGGCTCTATCGAGAAGCGAGACTTTGTGCATGAGCACTACGGTATTCCTTTGCACCATGTCCTGTCAAGTCGCGACTTGAGCTTTGTACATGGCATCAAGAGGTTGACTGATGGACGCGGCGTCGATGTCATCCTCAATTCTACAGCCGGACAGACCCTGCGTGCTAGCTGGGACTGCATTGCCCCGTACGGGCGATTCATCGAAATCGGCAAGGTGGATATCTTTGCCAATGCAGGTCTCCCAATGGGGCCATTCAATCAGAGCGTCACCTTTTCCTTCTTCGACATTGGTCTCATATCACTTGAAAGAGGCCGGCTATTCTCCCGCGTCCTTCAAGATGTCGTTGATCTGCTCGCCAAAGGATCCATCACCCCACCACAGCCACTGCATGTCTACAGCTATTCGGACATCCAAGAGGCATTCAGAATCATGCAATCAGGATCTCATATGGGAAAGCTTGTCTTGAAGGCTCAAGATGACGATCATGTCATGGTAAGGTATATCAACAGCTCATATCATGTATCAACACTAACATCTTCCAGGTCGAGCCCAGTCGAAAGCCCACGTATTGCTTTGATCCTGATGCTTCATATCTGCTTTCTGGAGGTCTCGGAGGTCTTGGACGCAGTGCAGCACGTTGGATGGCGTCTCGTGGAGCCAAGAATCTCATTCTTCTCTCTCGCTCCGGAACCACGCGACCTGCAGCACAAGAACTCATGAAGGAGCTCGCAGGCGCTGGCGTGACAGCGTCAGCACCTCAATGCGACGTCTCTGACCGTGCTACTCTTAAGAGGGTTCTCAATGATTGCGCTAAAACGATGCCACCTATCAAGGGTTGCCTCCAAGGCTCCATGGTCCTCAAGGATAGCATATTCTCCAACATGTCCCAGGAAGACTACTACACTGCCGTACGTCCCAAGGTGGTTGCATCAAGAAACTTGCACGAGCTTCTCCCTCAGAACCTGGATTTCTTCATCCTTCTCTCATCTGCTTCTGGAGTGGTAGGCAACCGAGGCCAATCCAACTACTGTGTAGGCAACACCTACCAAGATTCCTTAGCCCGTCACCGGGTCTCTTTGGGTCTTCCAGGTGTAGCTGTTGACCTGGGAATGATCCTTTCTGTCGGGTTCGCAGCCGAGAACCAAGAGAGCATGGCTAATCTTCGCCAAGAAGGTTTCAATGCCATGCGAGAAGATGAGTTCCTTGCCCTGCTCGACATGTTATGTGACCCGAATGGAAAGTACTCTACCAATGCCAGCCAAGATTTGCAGGCTTCGTCCTTTGCTCAAATCGCAGTTGGTCTTGAGGCGCCCGCTACTCTCCGCATCAAGGGCATCCCAGAGCCAGCTTGGATGACCGACCCTCTGTTCAAGCATCTATACCAGATCCGAGGGGAAGGCGATCATGAGGGTGAAGGCGACGGTGAAGGTTCAGCCACGTCATGTTCCACGCTACTCCCAGCGGCGGCATCGTTAGCTGACGCAGCCAAGATTGTTAGCGAAGCTATTGTTCAGAAGCTCTGCAAAGCCCTGTCTTCAAGTGAGCGGGACATTGACGTTTCAAAACGTCTTCACAGCTATGGAGTGGATTCCCTTGTTGCGGTCGAGCTACGCGCCTGGTTCATGAAGGAGGTTGGCTCTGATGTTGCTGTATTCGATATCATGAGTGGGCAGAGCTTGGAAGAGTTGGCTGAACTGGCGGCAAAGAGAAGTTCATTTGCCAGTTTCGATGACGAGAAAGAGGCCGATTGAGCATCATGGGATTCAATTTGTCAAACAATATTTTATTTCGCCAGGTGTACTCTGAATGGGAAATTGGGTTGGGCTGGTCGCAACTATTCCATGCCTACTCATGGGCTGATTGTTGCCACCAATGACCGGTAATTTAATCCTTAGGATATGAGATTGTATTTTTTACTGAATGATTAATTGAATGCGTAACGATTTCTACAACAATAATTGACCATGCCTGGGTGAGTGATCTAGAGTTGGTTTAAAATCGTAGCTGCATTCTCGAAGTTGATTTGGTATCAGGTTATGCGTCTCCAACAGCATTATGAAATATTTATGCAACAACAGTGAGCAGGAGATTGAAAATAAAGAGATTTGATTTCTCTGACTACAGAATTGCAATGCAGGACCTGCTACTTGGACTGAGTCTCATTTGCATGTGACATTCACCGTCATCATCTCTGGCCCCTCCTCCTACTGATTTATGCCGAGGAATATCGCAGCCGGATTCTATGGCGATATTGATAAGGTTGGCAAGCATCTATATTAATAGAGCTGTATGAACAACAACTACCGAAACATCCCGTTCGGATGTCGATCTCACGGTGCACCAAGAGTCAATTAATATGCCGTCAGACCCGGAAATATCCCAATGGCAGACCTGATAAATCTGGAGTGTGAAGGCCTTGGCCCAGGTAGTTTGCAGTTGCGCAATTTCTAATTGGTCGAATGTACCTTCCATTTAGTCAGTATAGAGGCTGATTCGTTTATTGAAAAGGATTGCCGTAGCAATGTGCCGTATGTCATGGTACATATGCTTGTCGATTGAGCACCGGGTGGAATAGTAAGGTTTGAGGTTCAGGATTGATTGCTTGCATGATGACAAATGTTGCGCAGATCGGAGTTATAACCACCGATGCTCCGATTTTGCTTGGTCTGATAACCAGTACGAGTGGATCTATCAAGAACTGGCTCCACTTCGCAATCAGATCCGATGTTGAGTAGCTTGAGATTTGACTTTCCGCGGACTCGAACTCCATGGGCAGTCGGCGACCATCTAACGTCCGCTGTGCCTGATTGTCAAGGGAAGGTGTACTACGCGTCGCAACTGATGTCGTAATTACGACTACTCATACGCAGATGTCTAGGATATTAGACCTTGCAAGGATGGTCTTTGAGTTTCCTTGATAGTCATATTATCCCTTGAACCTTCCACTGTGTCTCTCACTCCGCAATTACTCTCTTGCATCTACAACGCAGAAAGAACCTGACGAATGTCGCGCTGCATACATGCTTCATCAATCAAAGAGATAATGCCTTCCATCTGAAATTGCGAGCTAGCATATCTATATTCAGCAACACCGTTCCGACTCAACCACTCCACACTCGAAGAAACAATGGCGGAGTCCGACGAGAAGCCTCGGCCCGACGACGCCGAGCACACGAAGACGAAAGCTCTACCTCACTGGCGGCTGGTCGTCGATCAGGCTGGCGTTACGCCCGAGGTTCTTGCCTACAACTATCAAGGGTCCGGCACTGAACAGGACCCTTTTGTGGTTCAATGGATCCCAAATGACCCAAGGAATCCCCAGCAATGGACAGACTCTAAGAAGTGGTTTATAACATTATCCGTGGCAACAGCTACTTTGACTGTTAGTCTGGTATCATCGGCATATACAGGAGGCATAAAACAGATCATCCGAGACTTCCACCTTAGTCAGGAGGTAGCAACTTTGGGCGTCTCTCTATTTGTCCTTGGTTTCGCTCTTGGGCCCTTGCTATGGGCACCACTTAGCGAGATCTTTGGCCGCCAGCTATTGTTCATTGGAACGTATGCTGGCCTTACCATCTTCAATGCAGCCTGTGCTGGTGCCCCCAATGGGGCTTCGTTACTGGTCTTCCGGTTTTTGGCTGGCTCCTTTGGCTCTTCTCCCTTGACTAATGCTGGAGGAGCTATAGCTGATATGTTTCCGCCCGATCAACGAGGCCTAGCAATGACCCTCTTCGTGGCTGGGCCATCCCTTGGTCCAGTGTTGGGCCCGATTTGCGGTGGATTCCTTGGCGAGAATGCCAGCTGGCGTTGGGTGATGGGATTCCTTGCCATCTTCGCTGGAGTTATGTGGATCGGAGGAACCATCCTTATCCCGGAAACCTATGCCCCGACATTACTGAGGCACCGGGCTGTCAAACTGTCTAGCATGACTGGGAAAGTGTATATCAGCACCATTGACTTGAAGCAGGGGAAGGTCTCTCTACGCAGAGCTATAAGCACTTCCTTGCTGCGACCGTGGATTCTACTCTTCAAGGAACCTATTGTCCTCCTGTTATCGATTTATATGGCGATTATCTACGGCACCCTCTACTTGTTCTTCGCCGCCTTTCCTGTCGTTTTCGAACAGGCTCGGGGTTGGAGTCAAGGTATCGAAGGTTTAGCATTCTTGGGTATAGCTGTAGGCATGATGGCTGCTTTGATTTATACGATTCCTGACAACAAGCGTTATGTTCTCCTCGATAAAAAACACAACGGTTTTGCACCACCAGAAGCCCGGCTCCCACCAGCAATAATTGGCTCGTTTGCCATTCCAGTGGGTTTATTTTGGTTTGCTTGGACCAACTATCCATCCGTCCATTGGATCGTCAGCATCATGGCCGGTGCCCCTTTCGGCTTTGGTATGATTCTGGTGTTTCTAAGCATCATGAATTATCTGGTCGATGCATACACGATCTTTGCAGCTTCAGTTCTTGCTGCTAATTCGATCCTACGCTCCTTATTTGGCGCAGCCTTTCCGTTATTTACAGTACAGATGTATGACAAGCTAGGGCTCCATTGGGCATCGACGATCCCAGCATTCCTGGCATTGGTCTGCGTTCCCTTTCCCTACCTGTTCTACATATATGGAGCGCGCATCCGGACTCATTGCAAATTTGCCGCTGAATCGGACGCCTTTATGCAAAGTTTGAAGCAGGCCCAGAACCAACGGGAACAGGAGTCAGAAGAACAGGATACTATTACCGAGGACGAGCGTACAGTCATTGATGATGGAGTCATCAGTTTTAACCATAGACGAACATCCTCGGTCCATGGTCCATCTTCACTATATGACGGCAACCCCTATGACATCGATCGTGTTCACACGAGAGATTCATTCTCTTAACCTTTACGAAAACCAACTTGGTTCAGCTTTAGTTAGACTTGTAGATCAGAACTCAAGTACGTGATATTTTAATTCATTTTACCCTTAGGACCACATACAAATTACTCAGACCTACCTCGCCCGTATAAATTCCGTACCGGCTGCTAAATGAAGTTGGGATTTCTAGTCAATTCGTAAGTGAGATGAAGTGGGTCACGGAGCTTGACCCTGACGATGTGATGTGGATCGACTGTGCCTTGCTGTTGAGGAGTTGGGGATTTGACACTATCTACAAAGTTTCAGGAATGAAATCTTAACCTATCAGCAAATCAAGACATGCTGTTACGAGGGAGTGTCTTCTTAGGCAGTTCTTAAATAGTAAAACTACAAGCGATAGAGTCCAAGGTCATATCGATCTACAGCATGTCTTAGTTGATGAAATTTCACATCATGAGGAATGGTTGGAGGCTAAGCAATTAAACTCAACGCTAAGCGCTCAGCTGCCTATTTTATTCACTCATACCCACTACCGACTGCCGCTTTCCTCTCAAGAGGGCTAGGCCTATGGGTCTAGAGGGTTTTATGCTGAGAAAGGCAGTCACCGAAAATTATCTAACCTCCTTACTCTTGCATCTGCCTATTTGGAGGCCGATGCACTGAGACATCAATCTAACATAAATACACTGCTTGAGGTCCTCAACTTTCTTGTCCCATCAATTCTTCATTTGTTACAATGACTCACACCTGGGATCCAGATCCGGCACCGCTTACCACTGCCGAAGAAGAGATTCTGGCTGAGAGCGAGGCGGTGTCTAAGCTCAGTCAATCGCAACTGGACTCATTTAATGCCTGGGTAGGATCTAACAATCCAGGAGTACTTAAGGCAAAGTCTTGGATCACGAAAAGATACGATCTTTATTACAACACCTTCTCTTACTCTGAGCTAGTTCTAATGCTAAAGCGGGCCAAATATCTCTCTGGTAATGTGCCCAATAACGAGGTAAGAACTATCATTTTATCACAGGGTCTATCAGTCTAACCAAGAACCACAGGACCAGGTCGACTTTATCGTACGAAAGCCAGGCCTTGGCTTGCCTCTTGGCCACATGCCTGACCAAGAGGACCGCTTCCCTTTGCTCTTCATGGAGGATAATTACGAGAACGGCTGGCGAGCTGCCACTTTACTTATCCGCGAGAGTTGTATGCTCAAGCTCGTCAACGAGCTCTCCGATAAGCCGGAGTGGTGGCGTAAAGTTCAAGACGAGGCCATATCCAGCAAGTGGAAGAAAGAGGCGTTGGAAATGGACTGGACTTCTTATCGGAAGCATGCCGATTTTACCTCCGCTATGGCCGATGCAGTCAGTTAAATGAGCCATGGTGTCCTCGACGTTATGATACTGATACTTGAACAGTGCATCAGCGAGCTGCGAAACAAAGCAGAGCTGTATGAGAAGACGGGTTTAATGCCTGTTTACGACTATACAGCCACAGTTATTAAATCAGACAGTTTACTAACACCTGACCTGGCCAAAGCTCTCCAGGAGGGCGTGAAACCGCTGGAAGACGTCCCCCCAGAGTTGAAAGACTGGCATCCCAACTCCAGCGAGCAAGTCCTGGATCTTGTGCATCCGTCACTGTGGCCATTGATGTATGGCCGCTCCAGGGTCCTCAGTGACAGACTTATCGACGTCGATAACGCCCTTGCTTCTTGTGGTACTGGCGCCGTGCTACGCGCGCCGGGGTCCGAACAGACAACGCATATCATCGGAGAAGGGGGATTCTGTGAAGATGAGGTCGTGGTGCTATCAAATAAGTTCCAATGGTTGCCTTGCGATGTCGACCTTGACCCTAAGACAGGAAAGGCCAAGATTGTGAGTTACATCAACAATCTCCATCCACAAGAACATTCCCGACTCTATCCTATTATTGAAATGTTTATCGAAAAGTCACTACCAGCTTGGGACATTATCTATGACTGGGAAGACTCCTTTTCTGTGCAGCGCCTAACCACAGATGAGGCCGAATATGATGAATGTCCCTGCCCTGATCTCTGTGGTATCGAGGACGGCTATGGCTGCACTCCATGGAGGCGTCCTATTAGTGAGGAGGAAGAGCCTAGATACGATGTCGAGTCGTGGGGAGAAATGCTGGCAGACGGCGAGGAAGACGATCGTGAGCCTGATTATTACGAACTCGGCGAAGAGAAGGCAGAGGATTATAAGACGAATGCGGTGCGCAGAAACCTGGATGACGCTTGGTTTGCATCAACCCACTCTGCCAAGCTCCCCGACGCCGACCCAAGCGCAAAGGACCATGTGAGGATCCAGCCTTCAGATGTGAAAGCAAATGGGTTCTTCAACAATAGCAGTCAAATCCAGGTCATCGTCAAGCTTGCAAATATTCACCTGACGCCTGAGAAGCCCGTCTACAATGGTGGTTCGTGGCATACAGAAGGCCTGCTAAATGAACACATCGCCAGCACAGCTCTCTACTACTATGACAGCGAGAATATTACAAATTGTACTCTGGACTTCCGGACCTGCGCAGATAAGGAAGACCTGGCTGCCGAAATCTCCTATGAGCAAAATATGCATGATCCAATTGAGCGAATTTTTGACATTACTTTGGATGGGTGCATATTTCAGGATATCGGTTCTGTCCTTACCAAAGCCGGGAGGGCAATATTCTTTCCCAACGTCTTGCAACATCATGTTTCGCAATTCAGACTCGCCGATCCTACCGAACCCGGTCACAGAAAGATTCTCGCGCTGTTCCTTGTCGACCCAGCGATACCCGTCATCAGCACTTCAAATGTACCGCCACAACAGAAGCATTGGTGGACAAGTCAATCAGGATTGGATTCTGGGCGTGGCGTGATGCCACCCGAGCTAGTCGAAAAAGTGGTTAATCATATGGACTGGCCAATTGATTTGGAAGAAGCCAAAAAGGTGCGCTTGGATCTGATGAAGGAGCGGACATCGTTCAAAGCGGAGGAGGAATCGAGATTTGAGAGGATGGAATGGAATTTCTGCGAGCATTGATTGTCACTAGGAAACATGTGGACCTATCCGGATCTAGAAAAAGCAACGGAACACTTACCCTGGACTTGTCGTATCATAAACGCATCCGAAGTCAGCGTCTTAAACTTCACAAAGCTAAGGGACCCAAATTCATGTCACTAAGTAAAAGTAGATATTACTCATTCACGCGATTGGTGAAGGGAAACTTACTGCAAACTGCAAATATCTTTTCATTGTACCTAGAAGTGTTACACTTCCTGTTCACACGCATCAATACCTTTGACCAGGCATTCGGCCGTGCATGGGGCTTCATTAAACTCGACAAAGTCGTCCACTAACCAAATGTAGTAATTGGCCGCCCCCTGCTACGTGATCCTGGTTAATCACCCTTGGCACCATGTTGGGCATTCCGGGTGAGAATATGGACCTAACGGCTCGTAGTAAATGGCCGGATAAGAGCCAGTGCAGTCTTACCCACGGGGAATTGTCAGGCTTGACCCCAGGTTTTGCCCACATTATGGCTCGACCGGCGTATTCCTTGGCTTCCTGGGAACTAGCGCAAATTCAAAATGAAGCCACTAGTCAGTAAGTTATTCCAAGAAGTCCGAGAAACAAGAGACTCTGTGCAATAAGTTTGCCTCAGCCGAGGGACTATATAACTCCGCGAGCCTGATTATTGTTGGATCTCCTTATTCACTTGGTTATCAAAGCGATCGACCTCACCCTTTTACCGGGATACGAAAACACTTTCTAAAAGTTCAGGTCGCCAAAGCCAAATCAACCATGCACTCCTCGTTGGAGCCCACTACCTCGGGCAAGGCCACTGTCGCAACCGTAGAAGCACCCGGCCTCCACTCTACGGGTCAGGAGAACTTTGACGAAACCATCCAAGATGCCCAACTCGCAACCACAAAAGAACATTCGATGACTCTCTGGCAGGGTCTCAAGCTCTATCCCAAGGCTATCGGATGGTCTGTCCTGCTGTCCACCGCTATTGTGATGGAAGGCTACGACGTTGTTCTAATGGGATCGTTTTACGCCCTGGAACCTTTCAACAAGAAATACGGCGATTTACAACCCGATGGTACATATCAGTTGACTGCTCAATGGCAATCTGGCTTATCTAATGCTATGGCCGTTGGTTCGTTCATTGGATTGTTCATTACTGGGTTTGTCTCGGAGCGTCTTGGGTACCGGAGAACGATGCTATCTGCACTTACCGCTATCATTGGTGCAATCTTCGTTCTCTTCTTCGCTCCAAATCTGCAAACTCTTCTTGTCGGGGAAATCCTTATGGGACTCCCACTCGGTGTCTTCCAGACATTGACAGTGACATATGCCTCCGAGGTGTGTCCCGTGGTATTGCGATGCTACTTGACGACATATGTCAACCTCTGTTGGGTAATGGGACAGCTTATTGCCTCTGGTGTGCTGCGGGGCCTCGTCACCCGGAGCGACGAATGGGCGTACCGTATTCCTTTTGCAGTTCAATGGGCGTGGCCGATTCCTATCATCATCGGCGTGTTTCTTGCACCAGAGAGTCCATGGTGGCTGGTACGACAAGGGCGCGAGGCCGACGCTGTAGCCGCCTTGAAACGATTGACAAGCAATTCAGATGTTGACTTCAATGCTGAGGAAACTGTCGCGATGATGGTTCATACAAACGAGCTTGAAAAGGAGATCGAGGCGGGAACGACGTACCTCGACTGCTTCAAGGGCGTCGATCTTCGCCGGACAGAGGTCGTTTGTTTTACTTGGGCTGCGCAAAACCTCTGTGGTGCTGGTCTGATGGGATATTCGACTTATTTCTACCTCCAGGCCGGCCTAGCTACTGAGAATGCGTTCAACATGGCCCTTGGACAATATGCCATTGGATTCTTCGGCACCTTGTTTTCCTGGGTCCTTATGACTCGCTTTGGCCGCCGATCCCTATATGTAGGAGGACTATCTATGCTTTTTGTTCTTCTTCTCGCTATTGGATTTGTGTCTCTAGCCGGAACACACAATACGGCTGCCTCGTGGGCTACTGGCTCCCTTCTCCTTATCTACACCTTCATCTACGACTCGACTGTAGGACCTGTTTGTTATTCGCTTGTTTCCGAGCTCTCGTCGACTCGTCTACGCGCCAAGACCATCGTTCTCTCTCGCAATCTTTATAACCTATTTAGTATTGTCAATGGTGTCATTATCCCATACATGCTGAATCCAACTGCGTGGAATTGGCGAGGCAAAGCCGGATTCTTCTGGGCTTGCTTTTGCTTTCTATGTGTCATCTGGACTTACTTTCGCCTCCCAGAACCAAAGGGCCGTACCTATGCAGAGCTCGATGTACTCTTCCAGCAAGGGACCAGCGCCAGGAAATTCAAGGAAACTAAGGTGGACCCGTTCCAACATGGTCTTGATGGTAGCGATGACAAGCCAGAGAAGGCGGAACTTTGAAGAAGCGGTTTGGAGGCGGATATGTCTGTGCTTGAGATCGCCTTCCTGACACGGACATTCTTTTCGTTCCTACTATGTGTCTTTGCAAAATAGGGACTGGGAGAGTATAAGAACGGTAACGGTGGTATGAGTACTAATCTGAGTGCTGTAAATATCGGCTAGTGAGTTAGGATTGTGGCGGGTACAAGAACTTAGCATTTCATATGTAGCACCTTGCTTATTTTCAGAAAGTATACAATTCATCACGCCCAACAGCTTAGCAACAGGCATACTGTAATCCATTGTCTATTCACTGGAGCCCCTGTAAAATATTAGTCTTCCGTTCGTCTTTCACTGCCCCTGAAAATGCTGATCTTAACTCCGTTCTCGAACCATTGTCGAACTCCATATGCTAGCCACCGTCTGTTCAAAAATAAAAAAAATAAAAACCAATCTTACTTACCGACACTTGCTATCTCGTTCAAGATCATGGTATGCGTAGAGGGACCTATGAATATGAGCGGCGGTATAGATCGCTCCGGCTTAGATCTAAGCACTTCGTTTCGTTTCATGTTACGCAATTAGGGGTTTTTGAGTCCTGGGATCCTATGTTCAATCAAGCGGAGATTCGCGTTTTCCGGAGAAAGCTAGGCTCAAACTAGGGCCTCTCCCTCACAAGCCTTTCCAGTGTTTTCTCGATTTCGTTTTTGTTTCTGCCGCCGTGCTGGAAGCGGCCGAAATGGAGTCTCAGTATCAGATCATGGAGGCAACTTCTGAAGAGCCAATGTGCGGCGAGGACATACACTAAGGCACTGTTGAGAGCCATCTCAGATGCTTGAATTTCGGCCATTTACCGAACATGGCATAGTCTCAGTCACTCTTGTGCTTATGATGGCGCCAAAAACCTGGCGATCATGTGGGTTAGTCGGTTCGTTATGCTGGGGTACATGCTGGAGAAGACGGATGAGCTCGCGAATCGGCTTTCGCTGTTGTGCGGGGATGAACATGGGGTACCGAGCTTGTCAGCGCTATTGAACTCTATGACCCGAATCCTTGCCCTTTCCCTCCACAATCCATATTCTTATCGATTTGCATCAGCTGTTTATCGCGGTAATACCAACCGTACTTCCTTCGTCCTTCGTCCTATGACACTAACACAACCATTAGGGTCTCCTTGGTGATTAAAGGACACAGAAATTTATTTTGGTTCCATCCAGGCTTGAGCCAGACCTTCAATTTGTTTGCAGATTACCGACTCCATGTTCTCGGTGAGGCTATACGATCCCAAATCTGGCGCTCCACTGCAGCGGGCTCCAGGACGCGCATGTGATCAGTGCCGGCGGAGCAAAGCAAAGTGCAACCGTCAACAACCCTGCCTAACCTGCACGAGGAGGCAGATTACCTGCTGTTACGATGCGATTCCGAAGCCTAGAGGGCGCCGGGCTCGGACTCGCTCCAGAATGGAAGCATCTGATTCCAATGGCTCGATGAATACCCCGGATATCATGGCTTGGGACACTGATGGATCATCATCCACCACAGAGGCCGCCGTGGAAATCCTCGGCACGGCTCAAACAGCTTCACAGCACCATATACCCACTGACGGGCTGGATTTGGTTCCGGCACCGACCACAGAACTAGAGGGTAGTAATGAATGCAGCACATCCCCAGGTTTTGCTGAGGCGGATACATCATCTGACAGTACCAGCCCTGCCTCCCTTCAAGGGTTTCTGAGTGCTGAGTCGTACCTTAGCGAGACTAGATCTGCTCCGGAGCAATCTCACTTCGAGTCATCTGAATGGGGAGCTTGGGCGAGCAGCGACGGAACAGAGGCGTACCTGCAACCCTTGTTGCTTATGCTCCCGCGTTCAACCTTCCTGCCTTACGTGCACACTTTCTTCCAACGACTCTACCCAGTGTTCCCGGTTATCGATAAGGGATGTCTTCTTACTTTACTGCAGTCAGATGAACATCTTGAACAGCCGCTGTCGGCCGGTCTTTACTCATTCCTCGCTGCCCTTTCCGCTGCCGTCATCGCGCAACTCAATAGCGCAGACCTAGGAAGCCTCGAGGCACAGAGCTCAACCTTTGGCGATATCAATGATAGCACTCGGCCGATACCTCCTATTCGACCAGCCCTTTCTGCACAATTCTTTGTCTCACAGTGCATGCAGGCCCGCCAGCAGCACGGTTATATTGAAGAGCCCGATGAATGGACAGTCTTGACGTCTTTCTTTCTTTTCGCGTATCATGGGAATTTGGATCAGAGCCAGCTCGCTTGGTATTATCTCCGGGAGGCAATAGGATTCGTTGAGGCCCTTGGACTGGATCAACCGAGTACCTACAGGAGCCTTGATATGGAGACAGCACAGCGTCGATGCCGTATATTCTGGCTGCTTTTTATTACCGAGCGGTTTGTGGCTTCTCTAGTAACCTTGCACCCGTCAACACTGCCCTGCTGACTTGATTCGATAGAGCTTATGCTATCCAACATCGGAGACGAGCCGTCTTAGCCCCTACCATTGATCTGCCTCGGATATTCGAGTCACAGGACCCCAAACTAGCATACGGTTTTGTGACTTTGGCTAGGGTGTTCGCCGCAGTCGACGGGTCCTTGATTACCGCCTGGAAGGATCAGCAACCGTCGGGTACTGTTATATCTCAGAACTTAAACCCTTCAATCGCCAGCTATCTGCGCCGTAATGACGTGGAAGGCGTCACGTCCGATATCGAGGAAACTCAGCGTCTTGACATCCTGATCACCCATTTCTGGCTCCGTGTGCTCGTCTGTCAGCTTCAAATTGGGCATACACCCCAGGCAATCTCAACTGCTCAGAGATCCACTATAAATTGTGTTTTGGATACATCTAGAAACTTGTTGCAGATCATATTGTCTGCTACTCCACAGTGTCTTGAGTCTCACGGAATTGGCATGGTATGTCTCTTTGAACGGACGAAATTAATTAGTGAGAGGCTGGAACAAGTCTCTCATGCACGCTAGATCTTGTCATGGATGCAGCTAACCTCCTGTATCTTTAGGAGCAAAAGGTCTCGGATGTGGCGAGTTGCTTGTGTGATATTTTGGCAGGGCTGGACACGGACCAACCCTCCACGGAGTTCTCGGCGCCAGATGTCCTAAATAACTTCATGGTGTTTCTTGCTGGCTTTCGGAATCATGAGTCCCGGTATCTCCAGCCGCTTATACAGAAGACAACCACGGTTTTGGGGGCCAGGATTCACCCTTCCTCGTTCCCAATGGCTGCGGAAGACCGAATGAATGATCAGGAAATATTGTGTTACGAGGAGGACGGAAGTGCATGGACGCAAGTCTGAATGCTTCCTGAAGGAATGGAGTGTCTTATTATCTACACTCTTAAAAGCATTGCTACACATGCAACATATGTAGTAAATTTTCGGCTAGCAATTCATCGGCCAATTGGATGGCTAGAAGTTGTGAGTCAGTCTCAGTCATATTCCATAGGAAGACCTTTCTATAGTAAGGGGTTCCCCGAGCTTTTGGCTTGATCTAACAAAAGTATCCTGGTCGTGTAAGCTTGCGGATATTTTCCTCATCAAGATTTCCGTTATTACTTGACCCCACCTGCTTGTACGGAAGTGCGGAGACTCCGCGGCGGCTGCACTCGTGCTGCATTCTCATTCCAGTAATTGACCGCTGCATGTGCCTCACGAGACCGGCAAGAAAATGAGATGCCTGAGAATGCCATCGGCCAGTGGACTTTAGTGTGCACATAACATATTTCTAGGGTCTTCCGCCCGTCATGCACTTCGATTCGTTCTTGCTAAATCCTGCAAAATCGGCATCATGACTCTTACCGTGCCTGAAAACGTCAATATGGACTTGACTATTCCTCAAGATTCACAAAGAGTATGGTGGAAGGAAGCTTCAATCTACCAAATTTATCCTGCATCTTTTTGCGACTCGAATGGTGATGGTATTGGAGATATTCGTGGCATAATTACTAAGCTAGATTATCTGAAAACCCTGGGTGCAGATGTTTTGTGGCTCTGCCCTGGTAAGTCATGTCTCGTCCAATTGCTGCTTTACAGTCATAAGGAATTCCGCAACCAACATACAATTAGTATATAAATCGCCTCAAGTGGATATGGGTTATGATATTGCCGACTACCGAACCATCCACCCACCATACGGGACACTGGAAGATGTTGAAAACCTCATTAGTGGCCTGCATCAGCGAGGAATGAAACTAGTCATGGACCTGGTAGTAAATCACACGTCTGATCAGGTAAACACAAGCTAGAGAAGCCCCAACCCATTTTACTAATTTATCCCAACTAGCACGCGTGGTTTCAGGAGTCAAGGTCATCTCTTGACAACAGTAAGAGAGACTGGTATATTTGGAGGAAGCCGATTTTTGACGAACGAGGGAACAGACATCCCCCTAACAACTGGGCGTCTATTTTTGGCGGTAAGATTACCTTGCCCCTCAAGTACACCGAACACTTCCTAAACCTCGATTTTTCCCATACAGGCAGTGCGTGGGCCTACGATGGAACGACCGAAGAATACTACCTGCGTCTGTTCTGCAAGGAGCAACCTGATCTCAATTGGGAGAACCCTGTAATGGTCCAAGAGGTTCACGATATGATGAGATTCTGGTTGGACAAGGGTGTCGATGGATTCAGAATGGATGTGATCAACCTCATCAGTAAAACACCGGGGTTCCCAGATGCCCCCATGACCGTTCCAAATCAGGAGTTTCAGCCTGCCTATCAGTACTACGCCAACGGCCCTCGCCTTCATGAATTTCTACGAGGGTTCCGGAAAATCTTGGACCACTACGACGCCTTTGCAGTCGGAGAGATGCCCTGGGCTAAAGATGAAGGAGATGTTATCAACTCAGTCGCTGCCAAAAGAAAGGAATTGAATATGGTTTTTCAATTCGACATGTGAGTGTTTCCGAGGCCAACTCATACTGGACTAGAGAATCCCCTGCCTTGAAATGCGATGATGAACAAGTTCTAACCATTGATTGGGCAGCGTTGATATGGATAACGGCCCTGAAGGAAAGTTCTCTCCCAGAGCGTGGTCGCTTCATACATTGAAAGACATCGTGGACAAGTGGCAGACATGCATGTACGAGAACAACGGCTGGAATGCCTTATTCTTGGAGAACCATGATCAAAGTCGTTCCGTCTCTCGATTCATTCCACACAATTTGTCAAACCGGAAGCTCGCCGCAAAGTTACTTGCCACATTCATTGGCTTTCAGTCAGGCACTTTGTTTGTCTACCAAGGACAAGAGCTGGGAATGTCCAATCTGCCGAGGGAATGGCCAATTGAAGAATACAAGGACGTGGAAACCCAAAGCTTTTATCAACTGTTTGCTACCCGTTAATGCTTTCTCTAAATCGGTCCCCGTTCTAACGTATTGTCTCAAGCGCTCGAGAAAAACTGGCTGGCGATAAGGTCGGCCTTGAGTCATTTCTTGATCAAGTTCGTCTCAAAGCAAGAGATCATGCCCGCTCGCCAGTTCAGGTGAGTTGTCTCCCGTGTTACCATCAGGGATTTATCACTAAGTTTTGAAAGTGGAACTCCAAAGAACATGGCGGCTTTAGCACTGGTGTTCCCTGGATGCGCGTTAATGACGATTACACACAGTGCAACGCCGAGCAGCAACTTTCAGATCCTACCAGCGTCTTTTTCCATTGGCGTCACGTTCTAGAGCTACGACGGCAGTATTGGGGAGTATTCATTTATGGCCGCTTTGAAATAGTGGATCGCGAACATCCAGCCATCTTCTGCTACAATCGGATTGGTAAGACCGCCAGCGCCACGGTCGTGGCGAATTTCTCCCAAGAGGAACAGGAATGGTCACCACCACAAGCAACAGTAGATTCATTGAGAAATGGGACGATCGTTTTGGCCAACTGCGGAAGACGGGAGGAGCTTCGAGGTCATAGCTTGACTCTCAGGCCGTTTGAGTCTTTTGTTGTGCTTGAACAGGAAAGTGGTCATCACCTTTAAGATAAGGAGTGCCCTTTTTATTAATGCAATCTCATACCATTGGTAGTGGGAGATCGAGACATTTATAAATCGAGACATTTATAAGATGCTAAATATCGATAATGGATAGGTCTGAGGAGGTAGAAGAAAGCTTTAAATGAGAGAATCAAGAAATATGGATGCGCTTTTGTCTTGTATTAAGTTCGTTTGCCTTTTTCACTTGGGAAAAGATTAGTCTTCATCTTCATGCACTAAGGCATTACGATCTTCTCGCACGGATTTCTCCAGTAGACACGAAGACGTGTGTTGGGGTGATACCTCGACCATCTTTAAGCTTGTGGCCGACCTCGGCCAAAGACGCTGATATGGATTGATCCTTAGATTAATCGTGAGGGGCACGTGTGAAGGACAAGCTGGACACTGCCAATGCATATGCATATACAAGATCAATATATCAATTGTACATACGTTTTACGGCGCGGTGCCTCGGATTCCAGATATTGCCGCGCATCTTCGTGGACTTGAGGGAATCCGAAGGTAAGCATCATGTGGGATAAATGATGTTTTGCACTAGCCAAGGGGGTTGGCCAGCCTCTGTGGAGTCATTGGCTGAAGTCTCATCTTCGTGCCTCCTGAGAGGTGGGGCCGAGGGCCTTAAGATGTCCATGTGACGGTGTATCACCAGCCGGACATTTACCCTTTGAAGCCTAGACCTATGCCTAGAAATCCAGGATTCGGAGCCAGGTTGGCGCTAACCAAGTTCTCTCTGCCGATTTAAGCTCTCAGCCACAAGTCTCAACTGCAAATAACACATCTGGCTGACAACTTAGTTGTTGCTAACTAACGCACGCTTCCCCACGGGGTAACGTGCCACGCTCCGGACGATTTGCGCTCGGTGACTCTAGCTAGAGGTGAAGACGGCAGTATCCGCTTGAGAATTCGCATAATTGCCATAAAGAAAACAAAAGAAAAGCCGTCAGATACCAGCCACAACAAGGTATCCAAGACAAATATAGTTACATTATTGCCTGTTTCTATATGCGGTAAAGTAACCCAGCTAATTCGATATGCAGTTAGGGAAGCTATAATGGGAGGAGAAGAGAAAGCAGTGTTAGACGAGTTCTATCTACCGCTAGAGAGCTATTCTTCCCTTCCCACCCCGATTGACCGATGTAAGTCGCTCTAAGAGAACATCCTGGAACCTCACTTTCCTCAGCAGTTCACCCTCAAAGCAGATAGTACTACCTCGTGCAATGTGATTCCCCAGTCCGTCCCGCCAAACCATCATCCTAGGTAATTTTCCACTGGCCCCAATAGCTACCATCAATGTTAAGTTGACCTAGTTTGTCAGATTGGAAGTTCTGCATAGTGACCTTCTGACCGCTCACAGTCCAATTGTCGATTTCCAGATCCATCGTCACACCTGACTGCTTTGGAACAATACTCTGACCAATCCCGATGACGTTTGTCTGCAATCCGTCGGGAAATGCAACATTCTTGATGACAAAGTTCTTGTAGCTTTGCAATGGGGTAATCCGCAATAGACCTGGGCACGGTCCTTCGCAGACGATGTTGGAAATTGTAGCACTGATTGATTTGCTTGGGTCAGCTGATTTGCCATCCATATAGAATGGCGATGCGCCAATGATTGCTGACGGCACAACCGTTTCGGACTTGTAGTAGCGGGTGTGGATGACGTTGAGTGTATCAATCTTAATGTTGTCAAGATTCCTAGTGTCCCAGCCCATTTGAATAATGGGGTCATTGTGACATTTCCATACAGTGGCGCGAGAGACTGATACACCAGAGTAGTACATCTTGATCCCATCATCATTGACATGATAGAAGATGTCGTGGACTACACTGTTGGGGTAGATTGCCGGCCCATCGGTCTGGAAAAAGTACGCTCCTACTTGTTTATAGTCGACAATCTCAGAGGTTATGTCAGAGTTCCCGTTGAAATCCATCGTGTTGAAAGGTGGAGCTGCGACCGTTGGGCCCTGGCAAGTCCACTTTTGTCCTTGGTTGATGCTGTTGTGCCACCACATTCTCAAGCCATACTGGTCACTCTTCTCGGCAACGTAACCTTTGGCCGCATTGGCCTGGTAGACGTAGTGCTCACCGGAAAGCACGCCAAGCCCGGTAGCGTAAAAGTCTTGCTTGGTCGAGTATTCAATGGCACCCTTCACATACGCTCCCGGGGCAAAATACACCCAGTATGTGTTTGGTGACAGACGAATGTGATTCGAGCCCAGCTTGCCGGACTTGCCCTTCTGATCTTGGTTCATGTAGTAGACTCCAGGCGGAAAGTACAAAATTGGTTTGTTACCCCAGTCGCCGTTGTTGATAGGACCGGGCTTCATCGTTTGTGTGTTGCTTGACGACATACGAGGCTTCTTATTTGAAGGTAGAGGCGGGCTGGCGAAGATTGCAAGAGCGTTGCGCGGCTCTCTGCCGACGACACTGCCACCTGAGGTAACGTACTGATTACCATCAGAGCGGAACGTGTACAGGTCCGAGTTGAACTCAACCGACATCCGTCGTCCGTTGTTATCCTTTGGAACACGAATAATAAGACCACCGTCCCTGGATTGAGAGAGTTCGTATGAGATTGAAACAGGACGTATGATAACGTCGTTGGCCCTGAGGGCAGTCCCGTCCCTACGCTTAATCTTGACATCAACATCTTGACTGTATTCGAACTGCGACCAGGCCATATTGAGTCCGACCTTTGGTTCAATAGTGATACCATCGTCAACGTCGGTTCCTAGAGTGTTGCTGTTTGGTGCATCTGTTGGTGCATAGATGCGACCGTTGCCGTTTCGTGGGATGGCTTCGTAGACGAAAGAATCATAAAACTTGTTGGCACCTGCAGCGCTGACTTGCACGGTGTACTGATGTGACTGGCGGACGTTCCCTGGCTTCACAGGAGAGTCTGTGTTGATCTCTCCTTCGGAGTGCCACCACGTACAGAAGTCGGAGCTGCAATGGGCTCTGTTGTCGTACGCATTGTGGTTGGAAGGGGCTGCCCCGACCAAGGAGATGAAGAGACCTGCGAAAACCGCAAGGCCCCGCATTGTGTGTTCACAAAGATGCGAAATGATGGATTGAAGATGTGTGGTGAGCTTGTGTTGGCCAAGAAGATTTGCTGCAACTGACAGGAATAGTCCAATTATATATTCTATAATCAATGCCGCCTCCGCAGATCACCAGCAGCATCGCTAACCTGGCACTGTCGGCATATGCCCGACACTACTTTTTACAATTCTGCACTTGTCTAAACTCTTTGCAGTAATTGGCCGCGACTAGAGGATCATAACCAGGTTCTTCTAGTTGCAGCTCAGGTGATTATGGGGTAAAAACGTAGAGATGTGGGGCACGTATTAAGTTCAGTGCCCCATTCACTGTAATAGTAGTTTCAGTATTAGGAATTATATAGACTAATTTAGGTCTAAAAGAAGTAACTAAAAGGCTTACCTTAAATATATAGTCTTATAAATATACCTAAAATTAGTATCTTCAGCTTTATAAAACTAAAGACTTTATATTTATATATTAAATAAAAAAAGAATATTAATTATTTATGTATTTAATAAATAATAATTTACTATAAATTTTGTATATTTTTTTATCAAATATCAGACCTTTTATAAGCCGTGATTAAATTTATAAAATCTACCTACTAGCTTAATATAGTAATTAATTGCTTTATGCTATATATGCCTAATTAATTACCCTCAGCTTTATGTTAATTGTTTTAAATGGGAATTTCAAAGACTGGTATAACTTTCTAACCTATAGAATGAGCGAATTATGTGCAAGTTTGTAAAGCAAAGACAACTTTATAATAGCCATTGGTATATCAGTTTTATCTTAGATATGGACCCTATCCTCCTTATGTTAATAAAGTAATCTTCTGCGCCATCTAGAGAATTGGCCAAAATACTACCATACTGGTCGTAATCAAGGCCAAAAGAACAACAAAATGTCGTCTTCACAAACTTCTCCCTCGGCTTTTGGTTTAGCACCAGACCATTCATTTTTGCGGCCACTGTGTTTCTTCTGGAAGAAGGCAATGACGTAAATGGCAAGCCAGATTTGCTTCTTAATGTTCTCCCGGCCTTGAAGTGTTGAGATGAACGCTGGAATTTCTGGGATGCCGGTGCTTGGGAAGACATTAACTTCGATGACGATTGAATCAAACGAACTGCTACCCTCCTGGGCATTGATGAGCTGAGAGAGACTGTCCCCGGCAGTGTCCTCGTCCTTGCCATAGTCGTCCTCTTCTGCAGAACCTTGGTCGTCCTAGGGATCTTGAAAAGTGTTGCTGCTAATGGCCGTCCGCATCATTCTGGGTTGCGCGAAAGATCTGATACTTGCTTTCGATGCTAAGGCGTAACCACCAACTGATGCTCCTCCAGACGGGGTTTGGGCGGCCACGAACCCAAGATAAGATTGATTGCTGAGGGAGACACTTGACAACAGTCTCTGGCTACTAGCAGGAGCATTACCAGCAATGTTTGTACGAATGTCTGTTCTGTTCACGGTGGCAACGAAGGAGGTTTGCGTACTGGCCAAACTATAGGTGGTGCCAAGTCTGATGATTTCAGCTTCGCTCACATACTTCTCATCGGGATCGGTAGTCGAGAGCGCTTTGTCTTCAAATGTCTATATCAGGGCTCGTGCAGCAAGAGTCTGGATGACACGGCCGCGTGTTGGTGAAAAGGTATATAGAACCTGTTTCGTTATGGGGTTATGGGGTATATCAGGAACCTCATACACTATCTTGGCCTAGAAGTCGGACTTGAATGTACTGCTGATGATAGCATACCAATAGCTGCGGATGGCCCAGAACATAGTCTCGGATTTAGGAGCCTGTTGGAGTGCGCTTGTAAAGGTTGCTGCCTTTAAGCATCTATTCAGGTTCTCTTCTAAGCCACTGCAGGGGTCCAGTCAGCTAAAAGGCTGGGTTGACGGCAGTCAGACTGGGTTGCCATTGGTAGTTCACCGCCCCGTGTACCACTTCAGCCTGAAGGGGAGTTCATCGGCAGAACGGTCACGGCTTAGAAGAAATCATCTATGCCTGAGTCCTTGAAAGGGAACCGCCGGCTGCAACGGGTAGTGCGGGACACCTACCTTTCTTTAACTGACATTGCGTCTATTAGTCAAATCTATCCAAAGTAAAGGAAGACTTGTCGTTTGGGCCATGGCAATAACCCAACCTACCCAACAAGCAGCCATTTTGATGTTGGCACCTTCACAACTATCTTTGTTGCGTCTTCAGGAAGAGTTGCGATGGATCACCAGACACTTATCCAATTCCCTGAATCATATCCCTCAGAACCACTGGTCTCAGCCAGAATCAGCTTCATTGACTTTGATGCTTCTCACAACCCACGAGTCAAGTCCCTTGTTGAAGCTGTCCTTCCAATTCAGGCCGTCCTGAACCTTCACTCGTCTGGCGGCGGTGGTCGTCACAACGCTGGCATCTCCTGGCTCCTATGCCCACCATGGAGATACAGACTTCCAGTGTGGCTCATTTACCACCAAAGGCAAGAATGTAACTCAATGGATTAACCTTGATCGCCTATACTCTTCTCTACCCAAGGTAGCTGCCTTCTTCAGCGCCTTAGACATTGAAAAGCCCACACACTGCCGCGTCAAAACGTACGCCTCAACCGTGACAAAGAACGGCTTCAAGTTCCACATCGAGACCTGGGATAGTTCCAAGGTCTTAGAATGTGGAGCTTCCTGGGTTTCTGGTCCAGCCAATAAGTCAGGTATCACTATTGGGACATTTGGTGAAGATGAAAACTTGTCTCTTACTGCCAGACTCAACAAGACCGGTGCAGTCGACTTTAAGCCGAGTTTTACTGAGTCTCCGAGAATCTTCTTGGCGTTGGATATGTTAAATATTGACAGGGGCGGAAATACGTGTGTTCGCATCTCTAATAGTCATGTCATGGGAACACAGATGGAGTGGCGCATTGACACTTGGGTAAGTATGTCTTTGAAGGAAGCCGGTGCGAGTTTTATTGCTATTGGTATTTAATTATATAGTATCAGTACGGCTTTTTATACTCTAGCAGCTGCCAATAAGGTTACTAATCAAGTTCCTCCTTATAAATAGACAAAGTCCAAACTAAATGACAGTTTCTGTTAATATGCGTTCGAAATCCAATCTCAATGCCAGAATGTTGGCCCAATAATCCTGAATCAATGAATGTAAATACCCATAACTGGGCTCGATGGTGAGGTATTTATCCGAGTGTCTATACAGAAGGCCCAAGACTAGGAGCAGCTGTCATACCTTTCTTGGGACATACAGCCGTCGGTTCGTGGCGAGCTTCGCTGAAAGCAAGACTTAACTTATCCCAATCCCAGCTACGGGACAAGAAAATGAACGAAAATGTCAACACCGGCATCATCAAAACATCCAAGACACCAAAGAAAACTAATCCACCCGTGGTGCCAATCGTGTGACTTCCATCACTGATACTGAAAGCAATAGGGTAAAGAAGCCAGAGGATGTTCAGCCAAACTGACAAGAGCCTGTAGTGCTTTCCGATGTCCATCTTATTTGCCGCCTCGTAACTTTCGTTGATGGTACTCATGGCAAGAATCACATAAGCCAGGGTTCCAAACGCAAAGAAGCCCCATTTATAGCTGGTAGGAGTGAGAGCGGCGAACAGGTAGGTGAGGACCCAGATCCAAGCACAGGCAATATTGCAGACGATTGTGACCCAAGAAACGTTTGCGAGAAGGCCTAACGCCAGAGCAAGAGACGGGAATGAGACGGTCCAGTAGACATATTTAACGTAGAATAGCTGGTGGCTCGTATCGCTGTTGCGGTGTAGATGGATGGGAATCCAGCCAAGATCAGCAGCTTGAGCGTAGTAGCAGACGCAACCGACGAGAAGGGCGACAGTGAATAGATAGTGGAAAACGCGTTTGCTTTCATGGGCGACAAAGCAAAGGGAGAGAAGGACGAGCTGATCGCAAGGCAAGAGTTGGTCAATTCTAGGAACTCGCTCTGGGAATAAGAACAAGGACTTACAAAGGAGACACAGAAGATGGCAGTAGCAGCCCAGAGCCAGTCGGAGCCATTGACGGATAAACCATTAACAACACTATCTCGTGGGTTGACGTTAGAGACATCGTTTCCTCGATGTAAAATGTTCATTTTCAGAAGTCTTCAAGAAGGATGATTCTAAAGAAGAAGTGTAAAAGTATAGTGTTGAATTTAAATTGAGATGTGTTGTTGGCGATTGCCATGATTTCTCGACAGACTGGAAGATGTCTTATAGTCATGGACTAATAGCTACTATTAAATCTATGTGGATCTCAACAACAAGTTGATTCTGGTTAGTGGACAAATGAAGGGTCTCGGACTAATAGTTTGCTCTTTCGGATTATCGTTTTGCTGAAACGGTGAGATTACAGAGTGGTCGGAAAAATAGTTTGGACATAAGCTCGGACTTAAGGCTTGGAAGGATCCAGTCATTTTGTTCCATATAAAGCCAAAACTGAAAAAGTAGTATCGGAAAATTAGTTTCTTCTTTTATTGTTATCAATTACTCTTCCCACCGTGTCAGCGAATATTTGTAATTATTCGTCAGCTTGCGCGTCTCACAATGTCGAACCAACAACGCAATACAACCTCATGCAACGAGTGCAAACGCCGTAAGCTCCGCTGCGACGCGCAACAGCCTCAATGTGGATTCTGCCTGAGATCCAATACTGTATGTGAAGTGTCGCCACGTGGGAAGCGAGGTCCTAAGCGAGGCCATCTCAATGCTCTGCGTGACCGCCTTGGTCAGCTTGAAGAGATGCTACAGAGTCGATTCGAGTTTGAGCAAATTCAAGAACTACAGACCCATCAGCAAACCGGGCTGCAGTATTTAGTGAGTTACGATAGCTATTTTAGATGTCTATCTATCACACATATCCTGCTTCGACTAACCCCACTCAGCCGACGTTCGAAGCCCAATTACCAGATACAGCCTCTCCCAACCTAGGGGTGCCATTAGACTCGCCGCTAGCTCAAGCCTTTGGCTTGATTGATCCTGTAGTTCATGCAGAATTGTATTATAGAACTCTTCAAAGCCACCACCAGAAAGTAACTGACATGTTAAGGGACCAACTCTATTTTGATCGGGTCCATCCATCATTCCCCATACTTCATCAGGCATCTTACCTCGTATGGTCTAGATCGGCGAGCAGATCAATTGTCCAGAGATGCCTACAGCGTATCATGTGGATCATCGCCATCCTGCTATCTACACAGTTTCGTGAGTTGATCGAGCCACTGTACACACAAGTCAAGAAAGATCTAGAGTTTTCTGAATCTTTCGAAGTTGAGCATGCTCAATCGTGGACACTTCTTACAGTGTGTGAGTTAATGCGTGCTTCGTATAGCCAGGCTTGGATCACTGCAGGTCGAATGTTTCGACTCGTCCAAGGTTTACGTTATCATGAGATTGATAGCCCAGATAAAGTGTATGACTCGAAGGAAGATTCGACATGTACGGAAGAAAAGAGAAGAGTATTCTGGATGGCCTACTTACTGGATCATCTCTTCGTCATGAGGAATGACTGGCCTGTGACCTTGAGCGAGCATATGGTAAGCTATCTTGGACATGCATTAACGGAAGAGGCTTATGACTGACACTTCTCTCTTTTATAAGATCTGCACTAAATTGCCGGTCCCCGATAGTGACTTTCAGGGAGATTGTCTCGTCTCAGGCAACTTCATCTCCCAGGCTATAACAGACCCAGCCTCCCAAGCCAATTCACCATTCAACGACTGTCTTGCAATAGTAACGCTCTGTGGTCGTGGTCTGCTTCGCAACCGGCACAACAATATCTCCAAAGTCTATGGTGACGATAATTCCGACTTATCTGAGCATTGGCGCTGGCTGGAGGACGTTCTCTTTTTGAAAGATCAGATAAAGTCACGAGGAGATACATTCCATCCGCTAGGGACTTTTGCTCAGATCCTAGGTCAGGTAGCGGAAATACTCTTATGCAAAGGTGTTATACAGAAAAACAGTAACTATGGTCAGTGCATGCTGGATGACTGCCATCGACGGATCTCGATAGCCACAGAGGAGATTATTCGCTTGGCAAGAGGACTAACTTACCTTCACTTCTCTCAAGTAAGTAGTTCATTTTGTTTGCCAAGGCACGGTTTGAACTTTGCACTAATGTCATACTTCACAAAGGTTTGTCCCTTGATGTCTATGCCACTCTTCGCCGCTGCCGAGTTTCTTTATGAATATCGACACTTGAAGGATGGTGCCTTTTTACAGCAGCTTCAAGATCTAGTAGACGTATTGGGTAAGCTGAGGAATGTAAATAATTACGATAAGAGCTATTTAGATCTACTTCCACACTCTTGTATATTAGCATCACTAGATATACTGCAGTATAGCAAAGAGTAAAGAAATTTATAAGATATTACGATGAATCTGGAGGATGGAGTATATGGAACCACCTCGAGCTCAACATTGCCAAGTGGTGACTGTGTGATCCTTACTAAAGGAATCCCTCCGGAAGCCACTATTGTTTTCACCCTTTCGACCGGGACGACGATATCTTCACAAAGACACTCGTCAGTGCGGTAAAGAGGCTGGGATAATTTACTAGTAGCGAGACATCTGTCCACTGCAGCCCGGGTGATCTTCAGCCTTGATTCGAGTAAAACATCGGTGATGCATCCAAGGAGTTCAGCCTCTTTTCGCACCACCCATTCTTGATCATTCTGCTCTTAAGAATCTTTGTTGATGCTGAGCCTGGACTCGACCGTGGGAGGGGATAGCGATGACGTCAAAGGTCCCAGCGACCTCTTATCTTGTGTGGCATACGGTTAGTCTCGGTCGCTACCAAATCCAGGCAAAGGCGCAGCCGACTGCGCCCCACTAGGCTGATAGCAGGAGGCACAGTAGTTACCCTTATTGTCTCTCTCTGCATAAATGAGAGACGATGCAGCATCTTATCGCTATTTTCTGTCATCCTGATCTCCGTTAAAATGCCTCAGACAGGTCCTTCCATGTCCCCAGCATTGGGCATCCGCCTTGAAGGGAATCAACATTCATATTCTCCAGGTGACACAGTCATTGGCTGTGTTTACCGAAAAAGTCCAGTCGTGAGCCCAGACACATCGGTCACCATCTCCCTATCCGGAAGAGCCAAGTCCAAGATAGTGATCCACCGCGCAGAAACAAACAACGCAGCTAAATACCGAGGCCGTTTCAATCTCATCCCCGAGTCTGCTGGCTCCCAAAAAATCTTCCAAGGTCCGCTGCATATTCAAAGCGGCGGCGATGAGCAGACTTGGCCGTTTGCAATAACGCTGCCAAAGCATGTTGACCCGAAGTACCTACAAGGCGGGCGCCAAGAACACAGCTATTTACCTCTCGGCGCAACAGATCATGTTCTCCCATCGACCTTTACTCTTCGCGCGCTTGGAGAGACTGAGGGGTTTATCGAGTATTTTATGAAAGCTACCATGAGGGTCACCGGAAAGGGTCATATTGATGTGACTGAAGCTGTCCTTCCGTTCAATGTCATCAATCTCAGTCCTGACCCTCCCATAGCGGACTTTGGTCTTAAAGGTTCACGGAGCCGTCAGACCATGTCGAGCTATCGCCTTGTCCCCGGTATGGAAGCCGTTAAATTATCATTTTCCCAAAAGATAAAGCAGTCTTTTAGCACTTCAAGTGTACCAGAATTCGTCTACAGTCTACTCGTTGACGTCCCAACTGTCATCCAACTTGAAAACCCAATTCCGATCCCTTTCAAGTTACGTGTCGTTCCAGATTTGAAAGCGACAAGCGAAATCATCAAAGAAATCCCTCAAAAAGTCAAATTAATATCTGTTTCTATGCGAATCGTCAGCAGCACTGAGGTCATATGTGAAGGAACTCTGTTTTCCCAGACAAATGAAAAACGCGAGGAGATTGACTTGTGTGTTGAGAGTGCCCTAAACAGGATTCAGGGCGACATCTATATACCCTGTACAGATGAAGGGCCACCACTCGATATTGGAGCCATGCTTGGTTTGCGTCTTGAACAGTTGCGACCTGGTTCTCCTCAACGACCGAGCAATTTAGTGAAACTCAACCCTACCTTTGCCACATACAACATTCGGCTCTCGCACAGATTGACATGGAAGGTCATAGGTACAATAGCGGGAGAGCGCTTTAGTGCATTAGGGGCAGTCCCGATAAGGATCTTGATGCCAAGTGACGAGCGAGGTCGACCGGGTGAAAAAGACTCAGTTCAAAGGGACGGAACTGAGGCTGCATTTCACGGTGATTCAGGTCCCTCCCAATTGCAGAGAAATGAGTTTTGGATCCAGCCCCCGGACGATGACGCACCCCCAAGCTTTACTGAAGTAGTCGGGGAAGACCCAGAAGTACGTGTGGCAGAGAAGTCCGGGAAATAGACAAGTTATGATTTGGGGTTGGAAGGACGATGTTACAACTTATGAAACGATGATATAAACACCATGCTAGTCTACTACTAGAATCAATGCCTACAATCTAAGCTGAATTTCCATTGCTTATTGCTCAATGCTCCCAAAACTTCTTCCTGCCTGTTAGGTAGGATTATATGGACAGGTAGCTGCTCACCCTCCTCCATCTCTCTGCCCTCATTCTCCCATGACAAATTCAGGACCACTTCATTATTCTGGTCCTTCTGCCACGAGACCCGAGCCAGTATCGGCTGTTGCCAAGTACCACTGACTGGAACTCTGGCCTCGAAAGCCTTGAAGAGGCCTACCCGCGGCTTAAAGACGAGCACCCTCTCGCCGTTGATCATGGCGAGTTTGAACCCCGCAACCTCGACGGTATACTCATATAGAAGAAGGCTGCCCCATGCGTGACAATCCGATCTTTGCGTGATATGGTCTTCCACCCAAATTGTCAAGTGGAGTCCAAGTTGCTTTCGCCAGGGTGCCCAGAAACTGAGGAATTGGGCTTCGTATGCCCTATCGCCGACGATGGATAAAGCCCTCAAGCTATAGAACGCCATTGCTATAGATACCTGTGTGAACTTGTGCGCACGCTCATCTTCCACTTTGGTTTGCAATCCCAGAGAGCGATTTAAGAGGTCAGAGGCGTCTTTGCCAGTTACCGCGCCACAGAGGACTGCCCAAATTTGACAATGTTCACTATAGTGGGTATGGTTTGCAAACGTAGTGAGTCTATTCGTGAAACAGGTACCGTCGAAGCAGTGGCTTCTAACAGCTTGCACGATCAGCTCGGCTTGATGTTTATGTTCATCTGTGCGTGACGGCTTGCCCAGGCACAATTCGAGCGAACTGAGCCTCTGTAGAGTGTATGCGAACAACTGATTTGTATGAGTCAGGTAACCAGTATCCTTTGCAGCGGGCGGAACTACGAATGGCTTATATGAACTACTCCAGTCAACAAATTCCCAGTCGCCAGCTAATTGAGAAATGCGCTGCAGGCCAGTTATTTCGTCGAGACGACTACCAAAGGTGTATAGAATGGCATCAACGATGGGTAGGAAGTCAGAGACAAATTCTTTATCTCCAAACTGCTCGTAATGGTCTGTTAGCATGCATACCCAGAAAAGAGAGAAATGGGAAATGGTCTGCAGATAGTGGCAGGGAGCACGGCTTGCTGTCAACCCAATCTTTGGCTGAAAAGAGTTATAAAATTGTAAAATTGCTTGGCGTGCAAGTCGATCATCCCGGGAGATGGCGTAGGTAAAGAGTGCTGAGCTTCTTGTATCCATGGCGTACTGTAGTTGCTCGTAAAACGGACAGTCCTCGTAGCAGTCGTGCATACAATTCTCCAAAGTGCGTAATCTCACCTCCAGAAGCTCAGAGCTGTGCCAACTGACAAGATTGTTGAGGCAGCCTCGTCTATCAACAAGGCAGCCTTTTCACCACTGGCCGACAAGAGCTTCTTTCCAGTTATTGCCAATTATCTCAATCATGCAAAAATAATATCCGATTGCTCTTGGGTTGATGCTATCATCACGGGTGACGCAGTTTTTGAGGTCAGTGAAACGAGTGTCTTCTATTTATCATGGCTCTGACAAAGCATAGGGCTATCTCTTTGCGCACAACCTCATAGCAGTGCGGCCTGAGGTCTTTTATCAGCACGTGGAAAATGCGCTTGGAGCAGGCAATGCCAAGAGAGTGTTTGAGATGGATGAGATATCCAGAACCATGGATCAAAACTTGTTCTGTTCCAGGCTATGCACCTTGTGTGGTGACGTCATGTTCTCCCGTAAGACAATCTCCCATTCAGTCCATCAATTCCAGCGAGGCTAACTGAGACGCAAACAGTACCCTACCACATACTATCAAAAGAACTATGGCAGAGTGGCAAGAAACAATATCGTTGTATCCTTTCCCTGGGTCCTTCTTCTCTGGCGTCCTTGGAATCATTTCATTGAACTCGTGTACCAATTCATGACCTTCATGGAGCGCTTACCTCTTCAGAGACAGCGCGATGTTTGCGTCGGTTTCGTCCGGCGATGGACGGTCTTTGCCTATGGAGAAGAGCCACGGTCTCAGTATACATGGGTAGATGAGGCGGTGGCGGTGGCAGATTCCCGGGAGGGCTGGGTCGTGCGATCACGAGTGAAGGACTTGGAGGTTTCTGTATATGACGAGGACGGCCAGCGCCACTATGAGAAGTGGGAAGCATTAGATAAGTGGTTTCAATCACTAGGGCAGAAGGCGCCGGCAGCCGTTGAGGCTCTGAGTATCCCGACAGTAGTAGCTTTGGGAAACAAGTGAGCATATCTCGATGTTACTTGGGCACATGGAGATTACGGAGTAGGATCAGTGAGTAAAGAAATGTAAGAGAGTGAGTAAGTTTACGCTGCGACTAAATAAATATCATGCTGGCAGTAGATCTTCCTTTCTTGCCTTTGACTAAAGCCAAGACCATTGACTTGCTGAAATCAGGGACGCTGATTTCCTCTGGTTGGGGCCTCTGCGCTTCCTTCGTCTTGACCTGTACCCCCCATTTCCCATTGGCAATCTTGACGTCTTTCAACTCCTCCCCATCAACATAAACATGCAACTCACTCAATTCGTCCTTATCAACTGTACCAAAGATTGCCAATTGCCTCTCTCCATCTATAATCGACGCCGTGGCATCCATGGTGAGTTGAGGTGGTGCTGACCCGATGGCCTTACTCTCTAGTCCGCCCATAATGGTATCTGTCACCAGCTGTGGAGTTCTCGATGGCTGCTGACGAAGAAAGCTGCCCTTTTCAAAGGCATATGCATATCGAAACAAGTTCTTGTCATCATAAGCCTTTGATGCGAAGGTGAGATTGACGGGCATTCTCGTATCAGCCATGACACCCATTGGCACGCTGACAGTCGGTATACCAAACTGGCGAATAGCGCAGTTCCCGTTCGAATACAGAACACCATTGAGCCATGCATGCTTTGCAGACTCCTCGTTGATATCTGCATCAGCTTTGCCCACATCGGCATTACAAGGCCACACAAGCATGTCCAACTTCAAAGCATCAAGCCAGTCTTCAAACGCCGACTTGCGCTTTGACTCAAGGTTCTGAAGTGCCGTTGCAAGATTAGGGATCTCGTAAGTCGGGACCCGGCCATTAGTGATGTGGGCAACGACAGCTGTATGCCGAACGAGAGGATCGTTGGCGTCGTATCTATCCGGCAGACATCCAGGAGGATGAGGAAATATGGTCGATGACTCGACTTGTGCAAGACTTGTTGCCACTTTGGAATCTTGATTTGCAGCCAGGAAGTCGTCCCAGGAATAGGCCATCAACTGGCACATGTCGATCTCATTGCGATGAGGCGGTGTTTCCGACCTGCTCTCACCACCAACGGGTTTCTCGAACTCGGTGACGAGTGGAAAGTCAGTCTCGACAACAATAGCGCCTAGTCCCTCAAGTATGGTCTTGGCCTGTTTCCAAAGGTCGATAACGCTATCGCGGGTATAAACCTTGCGTGCATCCGGGTCAGAGTCGACGCCGCCAATGTACATCTTTGGAACTCCAATCTTCTTGCCCTTGAGAGCATCAGGATCAGACAGATCAAAAAACGTCTTTGGTCGCACAGAATTGACATCGGGGAGCTTGACGAAAGGCTGCTCCCGCCAAAAGTCGCAGCTCGTCTTGTCATCCGCAGCTACGATGACATCCAGAAGCGCAAACATGTCTTCCACAGTTCTTGTGTGAGGCACTACAGTGTCGCAGGTGGGGAAAAGGGGCCAGTTGCCTCTAATTGAGATGAGTCCTCTGGATGGAGTGTATGCTACCAAACCATTATTGGAAGCAGGTGAACGGCCGGATGAGATGGTCTCTTCTCCCATACCAAAGACGCCAAAGCTTGCTGCGGTCGCTGTGGCAGATCCATTGGACGATCCCGAAGCAAAAGCAGCCGTGAGATAGGCCTCATTGTATGGTGACGCAGCACGACCATAAACGCCTCGTTGCATGCCACCAGCAGCCATTGGAGGCATGTTGGTACGACCCAAGAACACAGCCCCAGCGTCTCTCAGCTTCTCAACAGTAAACGCGTCTTCATTTGCGACGAGATCTTTGAAAGCGGGAGACCCAGCAGCTACAGTCATACCTCTGATCTTGTAAGAGTCTTTGATCGTGCAGGGAATTCCATCCAGCAAACCCAGTGTCTTGCCCATGGAGCGACGTTGATCTGATGCTTGTGCAGCATCAAACATATCTTGATTGATGACTGGGATAGCGTTGAGCTGAGTGGTTCGGTGATCATACTTGGCGATTCTCAGCAAGTGTTTGGCGGTCAGTTCAACGCTGTTGGTATGGCCTTGAGACAGTGCAGATGCAAGAGAGACAATTGAAGCCTCTACGATAGAGAGGTTCTACAGAGTTAGTATTTGTATAACCATTTCGACATAATATGGCGGTACGGCTTACAAGATTCTGGTCGTCGATTGCCATGTTGGGCAGGAGTTGATTCTTTCGGGGCTGTTTCTGGGTGATGTAGAAGTAGCTTTAGGCTTACATTAATTCATAGAAGATTGTTTAAGTAGTAAAGCAATATGTCTCGCGTATGTAGCCAGGCTGCAGTGCGCGAGAATTACAACTGTTAATTATAATATGCAGCTGTTAAATATGGCAATCGAGTTAAGATTACAGGTAGATACTATATAAATTAGCAGCTGATGAATTAATTACCAGCTGGTAATTTGATTTATCAGGATAAGACAGTTTATCAGACTTCCAATCAGATAAGCGCTTATCGCGCCCTTCTGATTCGCTGGCAGGGTCACGTACTGGCCTCAACGGTCTTATCGTTTACACTAAGAAGCACTTCCATTTTGGATATAAGCCCATGACCGCCGTTACAATCACATCAATGTCTCGATATTGCAACAGCTCAATTACCTTGCACGTCCTCCAAGATGACAAAATCTTCGACCTACCATGATGATGTTCCTGGAACCGTTCGTCTCGTTGACATCAACGGGATGAACTCTTCAGGGCCCCACGACTCTCAGCACAAAGACATTGTCCTCATTCCTCGCCCAAGCTCCGATCCCAATGACCCCCTCAATTGGTCCCATCGTCGAAAGCTTTTGGCAGTCAGCATGGCTTATCTTTACGTCCTGGGAACAGGTATAGCAACCTCACTTCAATACTCTGTCCTAGCAGATATCACCAAGGACACCGGCATTTCTACTGCAAATCTCGTCCAGGGAACAGGAGTCATGTTTCTCTTCTTTGGTTGGGCTTGTCTGATCTGGCAACCGATCGCTACATTCGGACGACGTGGGGTATATCTTACCACCATGTTGCTTACGGTTCCGATAATGGTTTGGACTGCCTACTCGACATCTGCTGGAGAATGGTTTGCCCACAGGATCTTGATTGGTATTATCGTATCTCCAATCGAGTCTCTGTGTGAGGTCACCGTATTTGATCTCTTCTTCGCTCATAACCGTGGGACTTACATGAGTCTCTACGTGGCCATTCTCTTTGGGTCCAACTTCCTTGCCCCTCTCGTCGCAGGATGGTTCAACGATGCTTTTGGATGGAGATGGACGATGCATTTTGGAGCAATTATATGCGCAATCTGCTTCCTCATCATGTTCTTCTTCATGGAAGAAACGATGTACTTCCGGGGAGCCTCACTCGAGAGTCAAACAGCTACCGATAGCGAACACCAAGACCTAAGGACGTCCAAGGCCGAAGGAAAAGCAGATGAAGCATCGCCGAGAAACTCCTTACCGTCTTCCCCATCGATCATATACCGTGATATCAACTCCGGCTGGGAAAAGTACACCTGGTTCAAGGTAATGACAGGCCGACCCAGCAACACGGACATGCTACGAATGGTATACCGGCCTGTCTTCATGATCTTCCAGTTCCCAACAGTTGCGTGGGCTGGATTTCTCTACGGAATCAATCTCGCCTGGTACAATGTTCTGAATGGAACTGCCAGCCCCGTTCTGTCAAGCAACCCGTACAATTGGAACGCGGCGCTGGTTGGTTGTGTATATGCAGGACCGATCATTGGAGCAGCCGTTGCTTGTCTCTGGGTTGGAAAGGCAGCAGACTGGATCGCCCTGTGGTTGGCACGACGCAACGGGGGTATCAGAGAGCCTGAGCAACGCCTCTGGGTGCTGCTTCTGTCAGGAATCATCTCATCGGCTGGTCTCATTACCTGGGGTGTTGGTGCATACTACCACGTCCATTGGATCGGTCTCGTGTTTGGGCTAGGTATGCTTACGGTTGGGTGTGTTGCTGGAGGTGCAATTGCTGTCAGCTACAACGTCGATTGCTTCAAAGAGATCGCCGGTGAAACCACTGTCTCTATCATGTTGGTTCGCAATACGATCGGCTTTGGCTTTAGTTATGCTATCACGCCATGGTGGACAACCCAGGGATTGAAGAACTGCTTCATCACGGCAGCAATGATTTCACTCGCGTGTACACTTACCTTCCTCATCATGATCGTTTACGGGAAGCGAATTCGACGGTGGTCTATACCATCCTACCGGAAGTACATGGCTAGCATGGCAGCCTCGCACGAATGAGGGAGGGAACGACAGCCATAGAGAATTTTTCCAAGCTAAAGGGAAAGGAAGATGTTGCGCGATGACAGTTCATTTCGTATCTACCCAGTTTATATAATACATTTTGCCAGCTTTCGCAATTGCTCTCTTGCCTCGGTCGCCGTAGGAATATCCTGTTCCAAGTTCTTGACAATGTCCTCCAGATATGTAACCAGCCGCCCGACAGCAAATTGAGATTGGTTCTCGTCATAAAGAAATGCATTATACACCATATGGCCAACACCAAGCAACTGGTGAACGATCTGACTGCTCGCAACCTTGAACATGATGAGGGAAGCTTCGGTGATCTCATTGAGAAATTCTTCTGCCACTTTGATCACCTCATCAACTGGGGCTTGGCAATGAAGCAGGCCCATGATATTTACCAGTGCCTCAGTGCAAGTTATCTGAACTGCCATAAACTTGCATCGATTGCTCTGCAGGTCGTCATGTGAATGCGAAAGTACACGGAGTATAAAAGGTTTGCTGGCTTTTAGTTGATCCAGACTATCGAGCAATGCCCGCGGGGATGGTGGGTCGCAAAACACGGCAACGACATCCCTGTGGGGCTTTCGCTGACGAAGATTAAGTATCGCATACTCCATCAATCGGAAGAGATCGGTGATGTAATCCCACCCAGCCGTCCAGGCCTGCGTCTCACGACTCATAGCAGGTGTGATACGAGGATAAAGCACTGAGACCTGGGCCTCGGGAAGTCGAATGATGTGCCCAAGTACGCAGGCTGAATGAATCTCAAGCCGATAGACGCACCAAAATAGACGTCTTCGGTCGTCTACCTCAAGTAGAGATATAGAGCTGTCCCAGTTATTCTCCATATTGAACCCATGTTGAGCGATCCAAGCGTGGCATAATCCGAGATATCTATGAAGATCACTCTTGCTACCGCTTCTCAGTGAGAACACAGCCAAGAGGCCGAATGACCGTAGGTAGTCAAGATCAGGTGTATCCGGAATTCGTGCTGGAATGTGGGAGACAGCCTCGTCGAAATAGATGTTGGCATCATGGGAGACAACATCGCCCAGCAATGAGCTATCGAATACCGCTTTGAGGGTGAGACTCTGGGCGCTCAGTGCACATAGTGCCATCAGAAGCAGGTATGCTGTCTCCCTGGTACTAGGTATACTGTCTGCCCACCGTCGTTCGAGGTCATTCTCGGAAAGAAATGGAAAACTTGATTAATTTAGCAGCCAGATCAATGAACCAGATAGAGAGACGACATACTAGCACTGGTACATTGTGTCCCGGTAGATATCTATCAGACGACGGATGCAATGCGGAGACCTGAAATTAGAGCTCTCATTCTCGGTGTGCTTCTGGTTGTTGCCTTTCCCAGTTGCCACCGTTGGCTTCCGACCTCGTTTCCGCACAGGTCGGGTCATAGCGCATTCGGCCCCGTAGTCGATGCATGTGAGACAAGCTCGGTGACCTTCCCGGGGCGTCGCCTCGGTTACCGATGATCGGCGACACTTCAGGCCTCTGGAGTGACAAAAGTCACAGGCCTGTAAAGCTCGCTGTCTTTGGGTACCTGATGATCTGCGCTGCATTTCTGTCACTCGTTTTGATTATGATGTTACAATTAAAAGCGGGAAAATGGATGTGTCCGGCAAGAGGGCATGGCTTCATAAATAAAGTATTTATCAGCTGCTGAAGCTTATCAATTTAGCAGCTGATAAATAGCCGCTGATAAGAGATTGAGTGGAGTACACAATGGCCGAGCGATGTGTCTATGGGGTCAGTAAATATGTCTGTACAGCATTTTCAGAATGACTACACACTTAACACATACTAAAGAAAATAATATAAACAAACAATGTGGCTTTGTGAGCTACAGCTATAGAAATTATATATCTAGTTTAATCCCTTTCTCTCTTGCAAGAGTCTCTTGCATTGCCGATAAGGCGTCTGTAATGGAGCTACCCTAGACATGGGCAATTAGTTTTAGTACTCAGACGCAAACAAAGTCACCAGACTTATAAACGACTTTTTTATTATTGTTTGTCTTTAACCACGCTTTCTGGGGATAAGGGCAGAGCAGACGTTGCTGCTCATAACTGTTGTCGTCCTTGAAAGAGTGAGGCAGTTCCGCTGGCACGGTCCCGTTCTCGACCCAAGCCCGGAGTGCGTCAAACGTGTTCGTCGGCTGTCCCCCTTTGCCGCCTGAGCAGTGCAGTAGCCCAGGAACTTCGAATACGCGGTAAAAGCTTGCGACTTCAGGGATAATCTCCCTTACTCTTTCGTAGTAGTGTCTTGTGCCCTTGACTGGGATAAGCTGATCGTGCTGCAACTTATTAGCTCGGGTTGCTAGTGTGAATGAAAAAAGGACTTACCGTTCCATGATAGCCCAAAATCTTGCCGCCCTTCTTGTTGAAGGCTCTCAGGTCGGGATTGTTCGTCCCAATTACTGACTCATACCGCTGAACAGCTTCGTGGGCATAAACATCAAACGCTTCTCGGCTCATATTCTTGTACGACCAGTCAGGGTTCGCTTCTATCCAGTACTTGATCCAAACCTCGCCTAGCCCCACTGGAGCTCCTTGGCAAGTCCCGTTGCTGCACGTGGTCATGGCAAGTCCAATATCGTTTGTCAACTGGAGCGACTGCCCGCTGAGCTGAGCTCCCATGTTGGGGCCGTACCATATGAACTTGCCATCAGTAGTGCGTGGGCCTGACCAGGTCGATTTGGCTATCTTGGCTGCCTCCTCAGTGATGCTAACAATAGTAGCAGTATCGGAACAGTTGAACGATTTGCCGACGATGTCCATTGGATCAAAATCACAGGCGTCTTCGTTGGAGATGATTCCATCGACAATGCCATCAAGGCCATCACAGGCCTCTATGGCCTCCACCAAGATGGCGTTCATCTCACAAGGGTACGGAAAGTAGTCTAGCTCCTGCATAATTAGCTGAGGCCAAAAGGTTGACATGAAGAATTGGTTCCAGTTGATTGCTGGTGCACACGCATGTATGCCATCATAGGCTTCTGGATACCGCTGCGCAAGCATCATACCCTGCCTCCCACCTTGAGAACAGCCACTCCAGTACGAATACTTGGGTGCTTCGCCATAGAAACTTTCGATCAACCCTTTAGCAATATTTGCCTAGTCCTGTTAGCATAAAAAGGCCAGAAAGATATGGTGAGAACATACTTGATCGCCTAGGGAGATAGAAGCGAAGTTCTGGAGGGCGGAGAGATTGGGATTCCCTTCGCTGCTTAGGGCCCAAATATCAGGACCATAGTCCATTTGTAGTTGCAGCCCAGCGTCAGTCGTAGAGGTAGCATATCCCTCACCGATTGCTCCGCTCATGGCAGCATAGCTCGGCAGATATCGTCCGGCTACCCAGCCTCCTCCCCCGATGGATTGGAGTCGACCATTGAAGTTGACAATAGGAAGCCATGTTTCAACGCGGACAGTGTCGTTCTGGCCAGGGTGACTGTACGTGACCGTGATATTGCAAAAGTCAACTTCCTCGGCGACGGTTGTTGGGTGGCCATAGTAAAGCATCGACTTGGCCTCAAAATTGTAGTTTTCGACCAGGATGACAGAGAAGTCAATGACTTTCAGTCCAAAGACAATTGGCTGACTAATTGCATGAGCAAAGCAAGAGAGAGGCATGGTTGTGCGCTTGATTTACAGGGTCAAGTGTAGATTATGAGTTGTAGAGACAGGAGTATTTGTCTTTTTTCTATTTATTTACTCTAAAGGCTTCTTATGTCTATTCATCTCGTGTTCCCCACAAGGATGTAAAAGTCCACTTGTGGCAATTATCCTGCCAAAAATCATATTTCTTATGCAATTCTATAGTTGTAACTTAATATTCTCTATACGCGTAATCGGTAACTTAACAGATACTCGGCTCATCTAACAGTACAGAGCCTGGAAAAGAAAACGCTTTGCGACAGTGGATGCAGAAAGGGAGACAATACTCGTATTCGCGTGTCCACATGGGGTGAAGACTATAAAATGTGGAGTTTTGGCCTTTTGGGGATAAAGGGTCGGTATTGGCGTGTGATTAATGACGACTACACACATTGGCCGTCTTACTGAGCACCCCGAATCAAGCCTAGGTTCCTATATGGCCTAGTGAGAGTTTGCAAAAACAAATAATAAGGGACAGCATAATAGAATGAAAAGCATGAGTTGCCGAACATATATGCAATAATTGCTGCCAACGATGTATATGTTGAGCGCGCAAGAGGTGCCAAGGATTATTATTGCCGTTGTAAATTATTTGTAATACTATTGTTGTGTGAGCATTGAATTGGGCCATTGCAACCATTCTGCCCAGTGAAGCCCGAGATGAGCTGTAATGGATTGTATTAAATACTGTCCGCCGTCACCGAATATCCATGTAGATCTGTTCCAATGCAGCAAGACTGCAAAGAATGCAAGGATAACCAGCGCTTCTGGCTGTCGCTTCTTCAGCAATTCGAGGTACTCGTCGTCAACATCGAGACAAAATGCTATCGCGGCATCGAATCGCCGTCTGTTAGGCTGATTCAGTGCTGCATGGAGAGAAAAAGACCGCTGCAATGTGGATGCGGCGTTGTGGTATTTGGTCGCTGATGACAGGGAGGCGTTTGAGTCGATCATCCTGTGGAGGATGGCTGTGGCTTCCATCTCGTTGTCTGGTGCGGGAAACGCGTCTTCAATTTGTTGTAGTATAGGCGCAAGTCCTGAATTCTTGATTGTATGCCATGAATGCTTCGTCACAGCGCGGACACCACGGTGAATAGAGAGATAAGTGATGAAGCGGTCGAGAACAGCGCCAAAGCTCTCTCTTGGACCTTGAAGAGTATCGCAAAGGACATGGACTCCGACAAGTGATGAGAAGAGAAACATAGGAACGCATGATTCTTCTGAAACCTCTTGCCTCTCCTCGTTGAACAAGGCCAACGCCCTTGTCTGGAGACTGGTAGCAAGTTGGTAATAAGGTTGCCGGAGCGAAGGAGGGTTGCTCAGATGGAGAGCAGAGAGGGCAAGAAGCTGATTCATCAAGTAAGGGGCTTTGAGTGCATAGTCCATTGTGTGAGAAATGATGCTCTCATTGGAGGGGTCAATTGATGTGATGGTGTGACGATTCGTCAGCAGATGATGATAGAGGGCGAAATGGTTGAGATCGAACAAGTCCCCTCTGACTGGGGTATCTCCGACTGCCGTCAAATCAGAACTAAGAGACTGAGCAGGGCTGAGTGATATGGACGTGGGGCCCGCGGGAGATTGATGGGAAGAGAGATGGAAAGGAGACGGCGTATCCACGCTTGATGTTTGCGGCGGTGATGGCTGCTGGCCAATGTTGATGAAAATGCATTGGGAACCACGGTTGGAGATCTTGCAATTGAGGCAAATCGGTCGAGATTCATCACATTTCATGTGTCGTTGCTTGCAGGCGCCACAACCATTTCGAGACTTGCGGTGCGATCGACGTGGCTTGAGGGGCTTGTCACTGTCTTTGGAAGACTTCTTGGTCTTGGAGCGGGCCATGGCAAGAAACGATCCAAGAGAGTAAATTGAATGTGAGAGTAGAGAGTATGCGAACAGGCAAAGCAAGTCTAGTTCCGTAAAGAAGGGGGATACTCGTATTCTAGTCATGTTTGACCACGACACGTGAACAGTGGATCGGATTCGACCACGGATCGGTGAGGCTATGCTTTAACTCTCCGAAAAAATGATTAGCGGTATCCACTGATGCACACCATTCCCGTATCGAGTCCGTATGGAGATGTTTCTGATTGGCTTCCCGCAGTATGCACTGATAACGCCCCTTATTCCTCGTTTACAGACGTATATGATTGGCTACTCGAGCTCCACCAGAGCCTGCAAGTCATTGATCCTGAATTGTCAGTTTCAGAAATAGCTTGCATTACGGTTGGAATACTAACTCAGTAACGCAGGTCCATACTCCGAAATAATTTATTTAGTGATGGCCTAGCGTTTCTTGCAAATAGTGCAGATAAATAATTAATGGATATCTTATAAATATTGCCATACCTTTCAAATACAAGTAGCTTGCCATTTGTTTGTTCCATCCCCATCGACTGTTCAAAATCCCATTATCACGATTAAAGATTTCCGTCTATCTACAAACTCGGAACCGCTATAGTTCCGACCAAGCCATACGCCAATCTCACATTTTCTGAATTTTCAGAGAGCACAATGTCCACCGAGGGTCTCTTCAAGCCGGTTCCCGGAGTTGAACCTACCAAAGGCGGCGCATACCTCTGGCGCTACAGCCCCAGCGTACCTGCGGCAGCCATATTCTTGGTACTCTTTATGGCTTCCTTTCTCTGCATATCCTGGAAGATCTGGAAGACACGTACTTATTTTTGCATCGTGTTTGCCATCGGTTGCTTTTGTGAGCTGCCACCACCTCCCTCCATTTTTCACCCTGTCTCCTAACTTTGCATATCAGTCGAGATGGTCGGGTATGGCGTCCGCGCAGGTGCTCATAGCAAAACCAGCAAAATCATGCCATATGCCGTTCAGAATATGTTCATCCTTATTGCCCCCGCCCTCTTCGCTGCTTCGATTTACATGGTCCTCGGTCGAATCATCAGAGGTCTCAACGCCGATAAACACTCTCTTCTCAAACCAACAAAATTAACAAGGACCTTTGTACTTGGAGATGTACTGTCCTTCATGATCCAAGGCGGCGGCGCCGGCATGTCGGTTGTACAAAACGCAAGTCTAAGTAAATGGGCTGAGAGGATTGTCATACTCGGCCTTGTGGTCCAGATTGTCATCTTCGGTCTATTCTGCGTCGTGTCCTTGGTGTTCCATCGCCGCATGATCCGCGAACCAACAGCCGAGTCGATCGGAACTATTATGCCCTGGGAGTCAACTCTTTATATGCTTTACGCTGTCAGCCTTCTTATCATGATCCGATCAATCTTTCGAATCATTGAATATGCTCAGGGTTACACTGGGTACTCTCTTTCTCACGAATGGACGCTGTATATATTCGACACTTTGTTGATGTGGCTGGTAACGGTTATCTATATCTGGCGATACCCAGATGGGCTCAATGTTAACGCTGGCCATGTCCGCTGCAACAGCACGCTTCTGGAAGAGGTTCACAATAACAAGTAATAGTACAATAGGAAGCTAAGCATTTTCTGGCTGATTAAGGCGCGCGATAGAAGTATTACGTCCTAACCATCTTGAGTTTATGTAAAGCTTACCAATATCTAAGCAAAGCAGACTAAATAGTCCTTTTAAAAAATAATAGCCTATCTTTTATATAGTTATATATAGTATAATTGTCTTTCTCTGGTGAAAAAGATATAGGAAGTTTTTTAACTGATCTTTTAGAATGGGTTTAGCGTAAGGTTGCCTTAATACTTTCTGCTGGGATGACCAGGGAGTTGGTCGTATTACCAACCAGACTGTCGTCAGTGGCATTAAAGCCCCTGTTTGTGTTCGACTGGGCATCGGTGGAATCAACTTCACTCCTTTCTACTCGACCGACTTTCAGAAGTAGAACAGCATCAGTAGCGTGGTTTCTGTGCCTGGTCGTAAGGAATCCTCTGAGGTCGGCCTTATTGGGACTGCTAACAGCGTTACCACAAACAACACTGCGCTATTCACCCTGGATATCTAACCTATGGTGATTAGGTCTATCAGAGCATGACATGGCAGGAGATGTGACCTTTTAAGGGCTTCCTTTACCGGATTGACATTTTTCCTTTATGTATTTACAGAAATCCTGCCACGCCCGGTATAAGATTCCCGCTCTAGCGTGGTGGCCAATACAATCGCTACAGCTGCACACTTTCATATATAGTAGTAAATAGCTATGTAGATGTAGTTTTGGACCTGAGACTGCGCTTTTGGTGTACCGTTTGTGAGTTATTATAGACTATTAATTACCTATACATTTAAGGAAGCACAGCGTTGAGGTTAGACTGCATTGTTATGGAAAATTAAACATAGTCTCTCTTTTTAATCAGTAATTCACTTAAAATACTGCACTTTTAAGCCTCTTTCACTTTATGTATTTTAAGTTTTCGCGATAATATCTATATCTTTACTTAAATTATTATACATCCTGTAAGATCCTATAGAGTTAAATAAAGCACAGAAACTTTAAAGCAATTTATCTTAATTATTCTACAGCATTATGAAAAGTATAAATGTATATCTAGTTTGTAAATATCTTTAGGAAGAAGCAGCGCTAAAACAATAATGCCTGGAGAACCCCTATACTTTGAAAAACCAGTGTAATATCTAAACCCCAAAACTACCTAAATTGATAGATTCGCTTAAGCAGACTACAAGATCGCTATCACTCAGGTTGCCAAGGGGACCTTAAGACAATTGGCCATGTCACCTAGGGAGAACTACGCCATTGAGTGGGTTTAGCTCTAGCAGCACCGACATGAGCTTCAAGAGCATCCTCGACAGACGTCTACAGTTTCAAGCCAATTTCTCCGTTTATGGATGATGCGGAACCTTTCGACAGCAAGAAGGTTAGTTTGCGGCCCAAGATAAAAGAGATCTACCCTGTTACAGGCGACGTGCCTAAATTCCAGCCATGACCCAAGCAAGGCATGGACATTGGTTAACCGACGTGTCTTTGATCCCATGAGCCCAGGCTTGGGCCGTCTTCCTCTCTGCGTCCAAGTCATCAGCGCTTCTGGAGTTTGAAGGGGTGGGACTTACACATCCCTTTCTTTATGCATACTCCTCGGGGACGAAAGGTCAGCCAAAGTGCAGTTTTCGTGCTATCGTGGACGTCGCCCTCAACGGGCACAAGGAGCTACAACTCCATGGCCTACTGTCACCTGGCTCGACACAATTACAGTACGTCACCACAATTTGGCTCATGTATATGTCAAGTTTAATGGCGCTTTTCACGGGCTGCCTGATTGTTTTGCACGATGGCGCACGATATATGCAGACTCTGCAGGGTGGCGACTTAATTCACCAAATAGTCTGGTCTTACTCAATGGAGCCTTTAACCTGCACATCTTCCCAGCGCATGTCTTCCAAGATCTGCCAAATTCGTCGCCGGTTGGTAAATCCACCAGGAACATCCAGCCCAACATCGGCATAACTCCATATGCCCTCATCCCTGTAACTAGCCGCATCAGAAGGTGTAGGATGTGGAGAGCTCATAACCTGTCTAGTGAGCTTTTCCCAGTTCCACTTCTCGACTTCTTCCATATCCGAGGCAGTCTTATCATACACAGCCTCAACGGCAAGATCCCAGAGGAAAGGGATTCGGAAGAATACCTCCCTCCATACAGACTGAGAGACTTTGGCGTCGCCTTTAGGGAAGGTTTGAATATCTTGAAAGAATTCATAGATGTAGTCATTGAGCTCCTCTGGCGATACCTCTAGAGACGTCTGAACGACATTATGGTCCAGTCGCTCGAGATTTGCAAGGAGTCTAGAGGTCAAGTCAGGGATGTCCATGGGTTCCTCATCCCACTGGTGTATTACAGGTTTGTCAGCATAACGTTATAGGCCAGAGGTGAGACTTGTTTTAGGATATAAGCTTACCCATCCTTCCCATTCGTCACCCCATTGTTCAATACAGGGATAGGGGACGTAATAGCGTTCAAAGCCGAGAGAAATTGGCTGGAGAGGTGAGTTTGGGATAGGAGGGACATAATTCATATCCCTTGGTTGTGGTCGCTGTCGCTGTATTTGGCCAAGATAGCGAGCACAGCGGCGTTCCAGCGTCAACCAAAGTTGAAAGGTAGAGCCAGCAGAGACATTGAATGGCGACCCGATTGCGCGACTAGCGATGTTGTCACAAGATGCGTGAATCCCCATATACATTTTTTCCGTGGCGGTGCTCGACTGCTTATCAGATTGGCGATGGGAACGATATGGGTGCTGTGGATACACCTGTTTCCTATCTGGGAGCAGAAGTAGTTTACCAGGGTAAGACTGCACCTCTGCAGCATAGCGAATAATATTTTGGCTGGCTGCCTGCGCTTCCGAGGGTGCAGCGTCATACGATGGCCAATGGGGTCCAGCTAAGACAACTGTGTCCTCGTCAAGATACATGCCGCAAATAGTGCAGTAGACATAGTCGGGGTTGGGAACCATGGCTTGTTGCAAGGGAAGATGCAGATAAAGACTGGTAAGCTAAAGGCGTTTGCAATTGGAAGCCTGCGTATGTAGTGGTGTGCTTCATAAAAAGTTTAGAATACAAAAGCCAGAGAACATTGATGTCCTCATTTTTATATCAGTAGACCCCAAAGGTTCATAATCGGCTGTGCATTCAGGATTCCGATAATGTTCCTCTGAGTGACTTTGGACCCTTGGATACCACACACCAGACGCCTCTACCGCTTGGTTCATCTGTGACATTAAATTTAATATCACTGCCACTAACTTCCAGCAGCTTTACTAAAAACGCAAGGTACCTTAAATTCGTATTTTCCCTATTGGCATTTGCCCCCTGTAATGACCGCCTTATGGGCTATGTCGCTCAAAAGGATAAGCACTTAACCTTTTTGACTCACATCGCC